TTTCTTTCGTTTTTGACATGCTTATTGATTTTCCACAAATTTCCTTGCTGGTTTTCTATTGAAAAAGCAAGGCTCGAAATCAATAAAAATTATTGATTTTTGTTTGAGAATATTGATTAGAATCAATAGGTGATGCCCAGGGGACTTTTGCAGCTACCCACATTCGCATCTTCTCCGATGATTTCGGCATGACCTGCAACAACGGTGTATGAAGCCAGCGATGTGGATACTTTTTTTGGCAGGCACCGCACTTGAAGAATGCACAAGGTAATTAAAAATTAAAACGCCTGGACAAAAATCCGTGTAATATCTTGTGATTGAACCCCACTCGAAAGTTGATAAGTTGGCGTATGTACAGAATCAGTCAAAATGGTCAAGATTTAAAACCCTGGACTTTGCCAATTGAATTGCCAACAAATCCAACAAGGTACTGGCAGGCCACTTCTGGACCGTGAATTCTTGTTGCAAAACCCACCCGCCTCAATCTGTCCCTAGCCGTTGTCTTTCTGACGCTCAGGCCCCGCCATCCCAGCATGGGTGGTCAACAGCGTCGGCAGGGGAGGAGCTGATGTTGACACGGGTCGGTCGTTCAAATCATGGACAAGGTCGGCAAAGGCCTTTTCGTATTGCAGGTGTGAACTTTTCAGAGCATCCTCGGACTTGTCGCTGCAAGTGACTCAAAACCCTCCTCCAGTTTTTGGATTCACACCGGGAAAATCATCAAAAATACACTCCAGCCAAGCATCTGAAATGGTTTCTCTCACGAAAGAATTCATGGCATCAAAACCTCCGGGCATTTGCTCGATCAGCGCGTGGATCATCATGCGATCTGCTTCATTGGTTGCTTCTGCCACCCGGGTGTCCAGGTGAGCAATCCTTGGAGTTCCAACCGTGTGATTTCCCCATATGGATCGATATGGTGGAAACATGTGGAAATATCTTTTATAATTGTTCCAAATAAACAACCTGTAAAAACATACAGTACAAGGAAACAACAACATATTTAGCAAAAAAACAAAACATATTCAGCGAAACCGAGACTCTTTCGAGCCACGGCCACGGCCACATCTGTACCTGCGTTGCCCTCTTGCAAGACGCCAGTGGATGTGCACAGGAGGAGACCCTGCGAGCGCCCATTGCGCGACAAGCAAATGGTTTGGTAGACCTCGAATAAACACCAAATCCTGGGATGTGCGAAAGGATGCGAAAGGATTGAAAAAAAAAACGAAGGGCACCACAGGATACCACAGGTGGATTCACCGGAAAAATCAAACACATCACTCACCAGCACTCCAGGAATCCTTTGTAAAGGCTGCACGAGCTCATCAATGATCATAGCTGTGCCCTTGCAATCTGGACTGATGAGCGAGAGGTAGAAGGAGGACTGTTGCCAACGTCCGTTGCCCAACTCAGCTTTCACATGCCACTGGCTGTTGCTGAAAGTGCAAATCCTGGGCTCAAAAGCTGTAGCAGGGTCTGCGGAGCACCGAGAGGTGTCCCTCTTCTTTACTTCTTTGTAGCACGTGATCTACCATTCTCATCTAGTTTCAACATCTTGCAACACTGTTTCTCTGTCTGATTCTCCCCCAGCTTTTCTCTCAAAACCTTTCTTTTCTCTGTCAAAGTTCCTGTCGAAACGTTCTATACACCGGCTAGCGGTATGGATGAGTTTCTTCCAGAATGTTCTAATTAGGTCTAGCAGCGCACGAAAGCATGCGTGTCTGTGGGCACTTTTCTTTGTTTCATGCGCTAATGGTGTTGTAGATTGATTCACGAATTCACTCAAGTGGGGTACCCTGATGTGCCCTGTTGATCCGTATTCTGGTGTGTCTTTTCCTGAATTTTTGCCTCAGGCATCCTCAGGCCAACAATTTCTCTGCCGCCCAGCATCCAGTAAGCTGACTCTCGCCAGGATTTCTGATAGGACTGCGCATGCTTGAAGATGGAATCACTGAAATGGCGTACTGCCATCTGCCAGCTGTGACTGATGAACCATTGGATGTTCACTGGGCCAACCAACTCCACAAATGACACCTGAGCAGCTGTCAAAACCTCCTGTCGACTGCTTCTACGGCGTTGAGGACGGAACCATGGGTCCCGTTCAGCCCGGAGCACAAGTTTCAACCATCAGTCAACAATCCAAGAATTGGTTTTCGGGGAACAAGGTGTACTCCCATGGTCAACGCTTCAGCCAATTCATCGGCAAAACTGCACCCGGCACCTGGAAAGGCTCGGTGAGAGGCTTCACGATGTTACCGCAGACGTAATACATCGAGCGCTCTTTGATGAAGGCTTGGAAGAACCTTCTGCAAACAGCTGCAGCATGTTTACACTACACACATAGCCTTGAAGCTGGCCAAGAGAAGCTCAGTTGTGGAAGTTTAATAATGTTTGTAATGTTTATACTGTATATGTTTTTATATATACGAGTACCAAAAAAAAAAACGATCACGATGTTTGGCAGGGTTTGCTTCTCATACGAGCAGGGTAAGGTTGGGAAAATCAGAGCAAGGGGAAAGTGAAATAAGAAAGTGGAGAAAGATGGAGAAAGATGGAGAAAGATGGAGAGAGCGGGTGGCTTTGCCGGAAAAAAAGATGCCTGGAAAATCCACATAACGTGCAGGTCATCAAACAAACATCAACCATCCCCGAAGAGAAACAAAGGTTTTGGATGGGTGAATCATAAAAACGCCACATAACATCATATTACGCCAGGCTCAAACAGGTCTCACCAGGCTGCCGAGGCGCTGAAGAAAATCCTGAAGCTTCCCTGCCGTGATCGAACGCTGCGGTCCCCGATCGCACGGCTGAGGCCCTCCCGACACATCTCGCAGGAACTGTCGGCGACGTTTCGCCAGAGAGGTGTGCCGGCCACGCCTGGATGTGTAAATTCAATGAATACATGAAATTAAGAACGCAGGATGTGCAAAATATAGCTATAGTTACAATACAACTGAGATGACAATAATTCTCAATAATCAAAGAATATCAAAGAATACTGTAAATGAAATGCTTTGATGCTCGTTCTGAATTCCCCCAACACGAAATTGCGCACACGCCACATTTTGGGACCCTCACATTTCCAAGGCAACTTGCTGCGCCTGCGCCAAGCGAAAAACGCCAAAGCGCCCACAATAAGGCCAAGGCAGCAAACGACCAGAATCAAGGGCCAAAGTAATTGGCTGAGGCACGCCACACTGGCGCCCAAGAACAGCGCGCACCAGAACACCAGCCTATAAATTGTCTCTCCCGGAGAAAATGAACAAAGTCCCTTTGGGGTGACGCCAACATCACATGATCCAAACCCAAAAATGGCTGGCAGATGTGTGTGAGGTATCACAGTCTAACATTTACCATGCCCCCTTAAAGAAACTGAAAGCCAATGAAAGTCAGGCAATGAATGTCATCAGAGCAACGGAACGCCCCAGAGGCCCATCATGATGAAAGCCATGGGGAACTTCACATGCAAATAGCCCATGGAGGTGTCCAACTGACGTTCAATGCCTCATGTGGAGTGGGCCCCAAACCAAAAAAACAACCTCCAGGTTTGGGTGGAGATCGGATGTAACCGTTCTGGACCTTTCTGAACCTTGGGAAAAATGAAACTCACCCAAGACTAACATCCCAAAACAATCCAGGCTGCTCTTCTCACTCTGTAGGCTTAGTTCATCAATGCTCTGAGTTTTGCCCTTCCAGGTGTTTGCTCCATCCAGGTCAGGAACCCCAGTGCAAGTGAAATAAACTTCAGGAGATGCCCAGTCCCATCGCAGGAAACAATGTGGAAGCGAAGTTGTCACCGCCAACTTCTCGCCCTGCACAGATAAGTCTTCCACTGCTAGCTTGCTGTAGCACCCTACCAAGAAAGACATGACGAAACAGGTAAGGGCCATCCAAGCAGTCAGGGCAAAAGCGATATCCAAAGGAGACACAGTGCATCTTTCTCTTCGGTCATCAGGAAGTACTCTGAACAAGATGCTCTCACACAGCTGACATGAAGAACTTTCTGCTCCAGAGACATGTCTGTGGGGACAGGCCCGGCATAAGGTGCTGCGCTCAGGAGCATAGGTTCCAACCGGGCATGCTTCGCAGGTCAAGGAATTTCGCGCAATCTGCCCAGCTTTGCATGGACTACAAGTTGCGCTCGCTGCTTCTGAGACAGTGCCCGGAGAACACGAAGCACACTTCGGACCTTGGATTAGCCAATAAAGAATAATCATGAAATATCATGAATGGATAATCTAAAAAATAAAGTGTGATATTATTCGAAGGAAGTTTAGAAGTCAAACTTCCGACAATATGGACAGATGAAAAGCAGAGCAGGGCAGAGGCAGAGAGAAGAGAAAGATTAGAAGAGAGAAGAGTAGAAGAGAAAGAGTCAGAAGAAAGAAGATACAGATGCGCGAAAAAGTAGTAAAGTCGCGATTCACTGTGTTTTTCCAATGATTTGTGGCTCCGGAGGGTCGAAAAGGAGGCTCGCTAAAGCGGCGGGTGCGGAGCCAGCTGGCCAGATGAGAGATGAAGAATTTGCACGCCGTTGTGGCGCGAAGCACATTTCCAGGTCAAAATGTACAAAACACACCATTCTCGGACCACTTTTGGAAGTTGAGATGTCAAAAAAGTGCACGCCGTTGTGGCGCGAAGCACATTTTGAAGTCAAAATGTACAAACACACCAGGTTCGGACCACTTTTGGAAGTTGAGATGTCGAAAAAGTGCACGCCGTTGTGGCGCGAAGCACATTTTGAAGTCAAAATGTACAAAACACCTCAGCTTCGGACCACTTTTGGAAGTTGCGATGTCGAAAAAGTGTGCACACCGTTGTGGCGCGAAGCACATTTCCAAGTCAAAATGTACAAAACACACCATTGTCGGACCACTTTTGGAAGTTGCGATGTCGAAAAAGTGCACGCCGTTGTGGCGCGAAGCACATTTCCAGTCAAAATGTACAAAACACCACATGTTCGCGCCACTTTTGGAGGTTCGGATGTTGAAAAAGTGCACGTCGTTGTGGCGCGAAGCACATTTCGAAGTCAAAATGTACAAAACACCACATGTTCGCGCCACTTTTGGAGGTTCGGATGTTGAAAAAGTGCACGTCGTTGTGGCGCGAAGCACATTTCGAAGTCAAAATGCAGAAAACACACCAGCGTCGGACCACTTTTGGAAGTTGAGATGTCGAAAAAGTGCATGCCGTTGTGGCGTCAAAATGTACAAAACACACCAGGTTCGGACCACTTTTGGAGGTTCAGATGTCGCTTCGCTTCAAGACAGACACTACATTACAGGACATTCAATACACTACACTCCAGTACACTACATTACACTACATTACACTCCAGTACACTCCACTACACTAAATTACACTACACCACACTACATTACACTGAATGAGACTGCAACACAGATAGACAGGTAGACAGCTAGACAGATACACAGATGAAAGGGAGAGATAGATAGACAGGTAGGTAGATAGATAGATAGATAGATAGGTAATTAGATGAAAGAGATAGAGAGAGAGAGGCCAGCTGGGTAGATGAGATAGATAGCTAGATGGCTAGACAGATAGACAGACGCACAGACAGAAAGAAAGAAAGAAAGATAGATAGATAGATAGACAGACAGATAGATAGATAGATACATCGATAGATACATAGATCGAGACATGGAGAGATAGATAGATACATAGAGAGATAGATAGATAGATAGACAGACAGACAGATAGATAGATAGATAGACAGGTAGGCAGATAGACACCACTGCACTACATTACACTACCTTCCACTACACTTCACTACATTACACTACACTACACTCAACTACACAACAACTACAACTGCAACTACACAACTACACTCCACTACACTACACTACACTGCACTCAATTACACTCAATTACACTACACTACATTACATTACACTACACTACACTCCACTACACTACACTACATTACACTACACTACACTACTCCCACTACACTTCAACTACAACTACACAACTACACTCCACTACACTAAATTACACTACACTACACTACACTACATTACACTACACTACACTCCACTACACTACACTACATTACACTACACTACACTCAACTACACTACAACTACAACTACAACTACACTCCACTACACTCCACTACACTAATTTACACTACGCTGAATTACACTACACTACACTACATTACACTGCACTACACTACATTCCACTACACTCCACTACACTACACTACAGTACACTACACTACATTAGACTGGATGACACTGCACCATAGATAGACAGGTAGACAGATAGACAGACAGACAAACAGACAGATAGATAGATAGATAGACAGATAGACAGGTAGACAGCTAGACAGATAGACAGATGAAAGAGAGAGAGAGAGAGATAGATAGATAGATCGATAGCTGGATAGATACATAGAAAATAGATAGATAGGTAGGTAGATAGGCAGAGAAAGAGAGAGAAAGAGTGAGAGAGATCAAGCACCTTTCAATCCATCAGTGGCTTCGCTCTGCCATCCTTGATTCACAACAACCAACCTCTCCTATAGGTTTCCTATGGTTTCCTATTTTTGAAACTTCCGCCACCGCCTTGTGCGGTACTACTGGTAAAAAGTGTGACAGAATCAAACATTGTCTCCACTTTTGGTGGACTAGCCAATGGGAAACATCAGCTAACTGACAGATCCAGGACACTCCCTTCTTCTGAAAAAGTGCCAGCTGCGCAGATTTCGCATGCACTGCTGCCCGGGCTTGCAGCATGAAAGCCTGCCTTGCATGTTGTGCAGGAGCTGCTGCCAGCAGCCGACATGGTACCAGGGGCACAAGCAGAGCAAAACTGACGCCTCTCCTCGTGTTTGCCTGCCGGGCAAGCCGAGCAAGCTACAGAACCTGCTTTCTCGGCAACCATTCCAACTGGGCAACTCTCACACTGGCTACCGGCAGCCGAGATGGTACCAGGAGAGCAGTCGGAACAAAACTGACGCAACCTCTCATACTTTCCTGCAGGACAAGCCGAACATGCTGAAGAACCTGCTTTCTCGGCAACCATTCCAACTGGGCAACTCTCACACTGGCTACCATTCCGCAAAGCAAAGGTTCCTTGCGCGCATGCGCGGCAAGTACCTCCCTCAGTCGACATGTAACCTCGACGGCAAGGATGACACTGTCCATCATTCTCCTAGGCCAGCTAGAATGGAAAACTTTGTGGCAACAAGCAATCATTAGCCAGACCGACTGCCCCACACATCATGATTGAGAGAATGCTTGCATGGACATGCGTCAAGTTGGATGTAAGTCAGACTCAAGCACAACTTGTTCCAGGACTAAGTTTCCAAAAGCCAAATTCAAACGGCAGCTGCTCACTTGCCAAACATTTTTCCACAAGATGGAAGATGAGTCCAGACTTGAAAAGCATGAAGGGAAAGAGAGAGAAGGCACGATATCTTTATTACGTTTTGGTCCTTGCCTGTGCAAATCTTATGCAGAAACTATGGTGTGCCAAGTTTGGTGAATAATTGTTGGCCTAGCAAAAGGGCAAATGGAGACGGATGCATAATATGGCCTCTCTTACTAAGAGTCCCAGCATTGCACACAAATCTCAAGGCTACTTTGGACGTAGACCCTTTTGAACACAAGACTTACTCGTCCGTTCGAGATTCTTCCGTGCCAGCAGGGCAGTTGCCTTCTAGGCAGTTCTGTCTACCTGCTTCATCAACGCCTCCAAAATGTGCTTCGGAACAGTTGCCTTGGTGGAAAAAAGGCATATGGTTGGACATAACATGACATAAGTAAGAATTCAATTACTTCCCTGGATTCGCGAGAAAACAATCCAGTGAGATGTAGAAAAACATCTTCCACATTCTTCCGCCATTTCTGGCGGCTGACCCTTTCCAACATTTTCCAACTAAATCAGGTTCATTGCCTGACTCCGCCAAACCAAGTCACAGGAGCCGTTGCCGATGGCCATAAAGGCAGCAGTCGAGCTTTCCGCCAAAGCCTTCGCCCTGGAATCATCGAAGCAAACACCTCGAGAATGGCAGACCTCACCACCTGCACCGGGACATGCTTTGCAGTCGTGCAAGTGCCCGATTTCAGCTCTGAGGATTGAATAGAAATGCGGCTCGCAACCAGAGCAATCATGCAACTCATGGCCAGCAATGCACGCACAGGCCTCGGAATGTGGTTGGCAAATGCCCTTCTTGTGACATGCGTCTGGTGGCGTGCAAAACCCAGCACTCCACAAACCAATCCGGCTGTCTCGACGTTGCATAGCCACAAGCTCAGGCCGCTGATCACCATCCATGTCGGCAAAGTCAAAGGAGTAAACACGCCCATGCTTATCAGTTCCAAAGTCGGTCAATTTCATGCCCAGACATCTAAAATTCGGATCACACTTGAGGGAACTACCCTTGTGTTCGCATGCCCACATGGTCGAATACGACACGTGTGCCACTACCACGTCCCAGTCACCATCCAGGTCACAATCGACAAAGCGCCATGCTGCACTTTTATGTTGGGACAGATTGCGGAAAGGGCTTTGCTCCAAGGGGTATTCGAGCAGAGTTCCATCTGCCAGGCGCTCCCAATACCAACCTTCTGGGCCAAGCACTAAATCAATGTCACCATCATTGTCCCAGTCAACAGGAACAGGCTGCACCATGAGGTGTGCAGAACGTGAATACTGTGGAAAAGGCGGGACAGGAAACGTAACGTTTGCAGAAACAGCGAGCTCCGTTTCTTCTTGCCATTTTCCTTCGATCATCTCGTGGTAATGCACACGCCCATCAAACGCAGCTACGAGCAAGTCGGAATCACCATCCTGGTCCCAGTCCACCAGGGCAACGCGAAACGGGCCCAGTTCAGTCTCCGTCACATTCTGGAAGGCTCCAGTCACCTCTTTCATGTTCAGGCCTGTTTCATACAAATAGAGGCGCAGTTTCGAAGGGTCGCGTGCAGAGGCAGAGGAAAATGTGTCGCCCCAAATACCATTACAATCGTTATGAGCGATGACTAGATCTGTCTGACCATCACTGTTCACATCTGCCACATGCAGCTCTTCACAATGCTTTAAATCTATGTACCTGAATGGGTTGAAGTCAGAATGAGAAAGCACCGACTGGTGGACGACCTGCTCAAAGTAGCGTGCGTGACCCCGCGAATCTCCCAAAACCCAAGTCTCGATGAGAAATAGGTCTGGCAAACCGTCCAAGTTCCAGTCCGCAATTTCAATGCTTTGCTCGCCAACCGAGTCAGAAATGGTAAAATCCGCAAAGGGGTTATCAATCGGCTCCACGAAAGTGCCATCAGCAGCTTGATGAAGATATAGGATGTCGAATCTGCAGCCATAATGACATCTCAGGTTGACCCGCAGCAGCACATCGACGCGTCCATCACCGTCGAAATCCACGATCTTTTCCCTTCGACTGGGACTGGATTCAAAGACTGCAAAGCATAACACAAGTACCAGAGGTGTAAAAGTCATAATTCGTTTGATTGTATTATATTCGAATATATCCTATAGTGATGATGAGCTCAGATGCAATCTGCGAACAACAACTGACAACAAATCCAATGAGGTTCCAAGATGTTCCAAGTTGCAATCGAACGGACTCATTCTTTGTGATCATCCCAGCTATTGGGTTCGGGCTCTGACGCTCTATCACCTCTCCAGGTGAGATACGCTCAAAGTACCGCGGAGGTGAGATATGCTCAAATAACACACCAATGGACCGTTTGTCCTGGCCCAGAATCAGATCGAGATCGCCATCATGATCGAAATCAACTGCATGCATCTTGAATCCACAAGCTCTCGAATCCGACGGCAAAACCTGAGACTCCGAAGTGGGTGAACAAAGCCATTTGATGCCATTTGAATCCATTTGATGGTTTGATAACCCCTTTTTAAACATTTTTTTACAACAAGAGCCATCCAAACTCTTACTATTCACATGCAAGGGTCACGACTTGTATTGAGGATGACTTCTGGGCTTGAGGGCGAGAAATCAAGCCGACTCACGATCACATGCTCATTCTGGGCGTGGCACACCAGAACATCCATCTTCCCATCTGAATCCCAATCCGCCACTTCAAAATTGTCCAAATCGACTATAGCAGTTCGATGCGGTCTGAAACTGCCATTGGCCAACTGCTCCAACACCGAAAGCTGCCACGGCTGGTCGCTGTCTTCATCCTGGCATCACATCCCTGGTGATACCCTCCCAGGTTCTCAGACCATTTCCCAAAAAGCTGAAACCCTGATTTTGACAGGTGTGGTATCCTCAGTTCTTCCGACATGTTGTTGGGAGGAAAAACATGCCACCATCATGATGGAGTTGAAAATACATGGTCCCCCAGGTTAGGTATCTTGATCACTGCATTCTCAAACTTTGCATCTAGTGGAGTGCCAATGACCCTGGCCTTGGGTTGACCCATGAGGGGAACTTCAGAGTGTGGAGGGTTTCTGTTTTTCTGTCGGAACCCTCGATCTGCGCAAAAAACAACTGAAACCATGTTGCTGTTTGAATTCCTGATCCCAACACAGGTGTTCAAATTGTGATGTCCGCTCACCCCATCTCACCCGAACTTTGATTTTGACATGAAAACCATCGTCCAACATTCCAAATACACGTAAGAATTGATCATATTCTATGGCTGAAATCTGGTGGTTGGGCATCAGACTTCCAACGCTTTCCCTCTTGCGATGTGGCAAGCCAGGGTGCCCAGGTCTTTAGCCTGTCAGCCACAATGATATCAAGGTCGCCATCAAGATCCCAATCAGCAAGGCGCATACCATTGGTCTTTTGAACCTCTGGGTAATCGATGACTCGCTCCCATAGATCCAGGTGCCGTGCACTGTCACTGTAGCTGCTGCCTAGCAATGAAACTGGTGAATGTGTCTCCAACGGCACTAAGTATAAAGATAAAGGCTGAAGCGGGTAGATGGTCTGCTCCAAAGAGCAAAGAAATGCGTGCAATCGTTTTGACAACAGCTTTAATTGAGAGCATTGCAATAGTTGGTGTCTGTATTGAATGCTATTTTGAACTCGAAAGCTATGTTTTGAAGATTTCAATGGTATATTAATATATTTTAATCTGCACTAAAACTTAAATACGTTTAGCTTGCAGAATCATGACAATCACGAGATCAAAAAACACCTCAAGTGGGGGTGAGCACTTCACAAAATGCAATTTGATGCAATTTGTAGATTTTGGTGGCTGGGGCACTACTTGACCCATTGAAGCTGCGGCGTTGCCCTGTGCACTTGCCATTCTTCACCTGACACCAGGAGTGATCGGCGGCAGCAACAAGGAGGCACAGCCAAGGCAAAGCTCTCATCGGAAAAACCGGCGCAAAACTTGGAACATCTTGGAACCTATAGGACTTATGGATACTTATGGATACTTATGGGATCTTATGGGTATGGAAATGATTGGAAATGATTGGAAATGATATGTATGACATGTCCATGGTCCAATCATGGTCCAATCATGGTCCAATATTTGCCAATCCTTTGAAAATTCAGAAACGGCCATATGTTCCAACATGTTCCAACTTACGAATGACTCATGTGAAGCTACAAAAATGTTGACTGGGCCTCCCTTGTCCACAATCCTTGAGCCTCTCTACTCACAAGATTCACGTCGACTGTAGCAAAGTTGTTTGAAGGGGCTCTGACACAAAGTTTCTCCAGGTCTGTATGAACAGAAGAATGCTTCGTATCCTTCGAAGTTTGAATAAAGATGATACCTGTTGCAAGGGTCAAGGTGCTTCTTTTGTAGTTTGCGGGGAGATAAGATTGGAGCATTCACAAGGCAGCAAGATCTTGTGATTGAACCCCACTCGAAAGTTGATAAGTTGGCGTATGTACAATGTATGGATGTTCCCACTGGTTTCTGCAATCGACGAATGGAGCTGAAACTTCTTCATTTTCTCTGTTTTGAGCTGAGTACCTTGCCTTTTTGACAAGGGCAAGCCAGAATTTGACCTGCACGCTATGTATGAACTTCCGGGCGTCAGCTAAGTGATGCTGTTCCTCAAATTGCTGATGTCATCATCGAGGCGCATCTGGCTTCCCAAGTGTCGCGACTCAGGCTTCCAATTAGCAGGACCTTGGCCCAAAACATGCCAGAAACTCCAGAAACCACAGTGCTGTGCAATATTGTGCAATCAATCAAGTGAGTATGGAATAGAAGTTGCAGTTTTCAACAAGTCTAGTTACAGTCTAGTTCATATTAATCGAATCAAACACAAAGCCAAGTGGATACCGAGTGGCCTCTTAGCTATCTTTCGATGCAAGTCCTCAAGTTCACAAGGTCTGACCCGCTGAGCTTAATCTCAAGTGGAGAATGAACGCTGATGAATGCTGATGAACACACACAAATCTCAAGGATCTCAAGGTCAGTGAGCAAACTCTCGTTCTCCTTTCTGCGGTGTTCGAAGGCTAACAGCAATGCACTGTACCTGATCACTTCAGCTCCCGTCCATTGCAAAACAATCAGCTCAGTGCACAGAAAGTCCTAAGAACACGACGATATCTCAGAATCGTTCTCCACGTCCTCAATTTGGGGACGAAATCCCAACGGATCGTGCGCCATTCAGATCCATCCAGGTGATGTGTCAAGATCGTCCTTCCGACTGCAGAGGATATCCAAGGTATCAGGTGTGGAGGCCTCCGCAACAGAGTGAGAGCTTACCGAAAGATAAGCACCCTACACTCATTGCACCAATTGACATACAGAACATCATGGACATTGTCTTTCGAAGACCGAGAGACAGGATCTTACAGGCTATCTGACTTTGAGATCCTTTTGAGAGCATTTTTTAGACGTTTGACGCTTGACAAATAGATGAAAGGACAACTATCATTCTCCCGCGCCAACCTCAATCAGCACATCTGCAGTGACGTAGTTCTTTGCCACCAGGGACAAATGCAACGGTGTCAAGTCACGCCAGAGCCAGGGTTCCTGTGGTCAAACAGTTGCAACAATCATTTGGCTCCGGTTGAACAAGCAGCCGCCATCGACTAGGACTAAAGCATGCCACATCTAGGTTGCTAATATGGGTTGTTTCCTGTTTTTCCAGAAATTGCAGATTTCCAAGTCAGGATGCAAAAACGGGAAGAAGGTGCAAATACCGATAATTATACGCCGATCCTTGTTCAGTCATTGTGGGGCGAGAGTCAGGCAAACTCAAGAATGTCAGTGACAACATCATTTCAAATCTAGTTCTGAAATTCGGACGTAGAAAAATGATGTTGAATGGCTCATGGCCGCAAGATGTCGCAAGATGTTGCAAGCGAATGCAAGCGACAGAAATCTCGTTGAGGTTCTTCCCGTTAAAATGAGATTGCCATGCGGTGCTGTGGTGCCGGGATTGAGCCTTCTCGGGATTGCCATCCGATTCCATGGTGGCCCAGAGCTGTTGACACACCGCACCCAGAAGTTCCTCCGCGCGTTGTGCGGTTGAAACTCTTTCACTTTTAAAAAATATTAATATCATATCATATCTAAAAATTGTTTCATCCTTATATGATGTGATATATAGTCGTTATGTTTTGCACGTGTTTTCAATCCCGTATGTCTTCGTTCTACTGGTGAGACCTGAAATCTCTTCGACAGGGGCGGCCTTGAACTGCGGTGGCCGTGTTTCGTTGGGAAAAACGAAGGGCACGTCACCACTGCATTCACTGAGAAGAAGTGCATGAGCAATGGCCTGCGTACAGCGTAGCATTGATCAGAAAAGGTGTCACTGTAACATACTGTAACTTCAACATTTTGAGTTTCGGTAAATGAAGATAGGTGAAGTCATTTGTGACTATATATGATATGTAATTATATTATATATATATGTTATACTGTTATACATTGTGTTCCCTCACATTCAAATGATGTTCGAAATTGTTTGAAAGAGTGAGAGGCGCAAGTCTGCAGTGATCTGCTTGAGCTGGGCACAGAAGAAAAGATGGGACATTGCCAAGCTCTCTACACTCCACACGTCACATCACATCGCCACCCACACGGGAGATTCTTCTGAGGCGCATTGAGATCCAGAAGAGCACAGAGATGCAGAGCAGTCAAGCCTAGCAAAGCTCCACGATCTTCAGCATCAATAGCAACATCGATACATGCCATCAATTTTTGAACCAAAGTATGTTTCTTTATGTTTCTTTAACATTCTTGGATTGCCAAAATTTGGACGCCAAGGTCCGCAAACTGATCTGAAGGATTCTGAAGGTCTGAAGGCACTGAAAACAAGCTTTCAAGGACACGTGAGTATGGTCTAGCCTCGGAAGCAGTTGTCTGTGACCGAATAGTGTTTGGGCGCCTGCTGGGAAGCGCGATTCCAATCCAGATTCCAACCATCCAAACAGAGGTCGTAATTGGCTACGCATGAGTTATGCTGATTCAATCTGATTCATACTTCTGCAATCATCTCCATACAGTTTCTTTTGCAATTAATTAGTAGGTGTGGCGACGTGCAATACAAGTAGTTCACATGAATTGCAAAGACCTTTGAATAAACACGTTCCCGTCGAAGGAAGACAAAAAAGCCTCGATGGCAATGTGATCCAGTTGCGACAGCAGGTCGGCGCCAAGCCTTTTAATTCAACATCCGAAAGCGCATCGTCTAGTGAGTTGCAAAGCTCACATAAGCTGCTCTCACATGCCAATAAACAGGATTAAACATGTTTCTGATGACTTCTGATACATGTCCAGTGCCTGACAACCTTTCTCTCTCTGTTTCCATCTAGTCCAGTCAGATCCACGCACATCCATAAGCCCGCCAAAAGCATCCAAACAATTTCAACAACGACATCTTGACCCCCGGAGCTCACTTTGGCCTCACCAGAAGTAAAGCAACGTCGCCGCGCCCATGGAGCAAAGCCAAGGTCAAGGGCGTCAAACCGCGCCATGCCCAAAGCAACTCCTCACCCAAACCCTCCACCTGAGCGGAATCAACAGGAAGCAAGCATGACTGCAGCATGACTCTAACTATGAAAACAAATCAAGCACAGTATTATAGATGGGCATCACAATGGCATCACCGTAGGAATAAACATTCAACATCATGAAACATGCAGCAAAATGTCGATCCACCTACAGTAGATTGAGAAGCCCTTCATGAATCAACAATTTTGAACACGCGCCTTCCAAGGCCAGAATGGTGGAGTGATGTCTGGCACCAAGGGCAGCTTGCTGTTGACATCTGGTAGGAGCTGCTGCTCATAGAGAAACTGAAGCATCTCCAATGTGCCCGCGCGGACACAGAGCATCACAACATCCTGGACAAACTGATCGGAAGCAACAAATGTCAGCAACACGGGCTTCACACCGGGCACTGAGCAGTCCAACATAGTCCAACAATCAGATTTTTTAATCCAAAGTCTTGTCTTCAAAATACGGAATCATGGCGAAAGCTAGCAGTGCTCATGGGTTATCAGGAGACAATAACAGTGGAGGCATACTTGCGCGTCCTGTTGTTTTTTGTCATTTCCAGGTGTAGGTAGGGTTTTGCCTTGAAACTTGTGGTTGGGAAGGAAGGTAGGTGCTGTGTTGGGGGAGGGAGGCTTCGCCGAAGTATCAAGTATGGATGTTGGGAAGGGGGGTTGGTGAGGGAAGAGTACGACTAGGGCAAATATAGCAAATATCATGAGGCCAAACCAAAGTTGGCGCGGATCGATCCCATGACAACTACAAGACCTTGCTGGGACGAGGAGAAGGAGGGTCTCCCGGCTTAAGTGATTTAACCACTGGATTGGTGGTTTCATTGCCTGTCTAAAACCCTGCTAAAGCAAGAGCAACTTCAGATAGCTGATGCTAGTATATTATATGTACAGCCAAGGACTTTAGTCACAGCATGTCACAGCAGTTTTCTGGAATCACAATATTTACAAATGGGGAAACATCGCTACGACCCCGACAGAGCAGGGTCACAGCAACAATGCTAAACACAATGAGAATGCCTGAAAAATATATTCTTTTACGTCGAATCGGTGATCATTCTCTCACTCATTCTCTCACCGCACCCGTTCTCTCACTCATTCTCTCGTTCACTCTCTCACTCATTCTCTCACTCACTCTCTAACTCATTTTCTCACCTATTCTCTCACTCATTCTCTCACTCACTCTCTAACTCATTCTCTCACCTATTCTCTCACTCATTCTCTCACTGACTAACTCATTCTCTCACTATCTCTCACTCACTCTCTAACTCATTTTCTCACCTATTCTCTCACTCATTCTCTCACTCACTCTCTAACTCATTCTCTCACCTATTCTCTCACTCATTCTCTCACTGACTAACTCATTCTCTCACTATCTCTCACTCACTCTCTAACTCATTTTCTCACCTATTCTCTCACTCATTCTCTCACTCACTCTCTAACTCATTCTCTCACCTATTCTCTCACTCATTCTCTCACTGACTAACTCATTCTCTCACTCACTCTCTAACTCATTTTCTCACCTATTCTCTCACTCATTCTCTCACTCATTCTCTCACTCATTCTCTCACTCATTCTCTAACTCATTCTCTCACCTATTCTCTCACTCATTCTCTCACTCACTCTCTAACTCATTCTCTCACCTATTCTCTCACTCATTCTCTCACTGACTAACTCATTCTATCACTCACTCTCTAACTCATTTTCTCACCTATTCTCTCACTCATTCTCTCACTCATTCTCTCACTCATTCTCTCACTCACTCTCAAACTCATTCTCTCACCTATTCTCTCACTCATTCTCTCACTCATTCTCTCACTCATTCTCTCACTCATTCTCTCACTCACTCTCTAACTCATTCTCTCACCTATTCTCTCACTTATTCTCTCACTCACTCTCTAACTCATTCTCTCACCTATTCTCTCACTCATTCTCTCACTCACTCTCTAACTCATTCTCTCACCTATTCTCTCACTCATTCTCTCACTGACTAACTCATTCTCTCACTCACTCTCTAACTCATTCTCTCACCTATTCTCTCACTCATTCTCTCACTCATTCTCTCACTCACTCTCTAACTCATTCTCTCACCTATTCTCTCACTCATTCTCTCACTGACTAACTCATTCTCTCACTCACTCTCTAACTCATTTTCTCACCTATTCTCTCACTCATTCTCTCACTCACTCTCTCACCTATTCTCACTCATTCTCTCACTCATTCTCTCACTCATTCTCTCACTCACTCTCAAACTCATTCTCTCACCTATTCTCTCACTTATTCTCTCACTCATTCTCTCACTCATTCTCTCACTCATTCTCTCACTCACTCTCAAACTCATTCTCTCACCTATTCTCTCACTCATTCTCTCACTCATTCTCTCACTCATTCTCTCACTCATTCTCTCACTCACTCTCTAACTCATTCTCTCACCTATTCTCTGACTCATTCTCTCACTCATTCTCTCACTCGCCGCAACTAATTTAGCTTTGAACAGCAAATCGCTACGACTAAGGTCGCTGACTGTATCATATGTCCTTATCAAGCTGTCTCCAATTGCTGTGTTCAAGCTGTCTCTACGCTTTTTGAGGAATAAGATTGAGGAAACACACAGCCAGCCAGCTCCATAAATACTCCAGTCAAACCGAGTCAAACCTGATGACTTCTTCAACCACTCTCATCCGCATGCCAGTGGAGACAGCCGAGAGTCCAAGTCCATTCCGTGCAGCAGTGGATCACCTGGAGGATCCACCAGAATCTCTCGCACAGGCACAACACCTTCAACTTTGTCAAAGGCCGCTCCGGCTGCCACTAGCCGTTGCCTGAGCTGCAAACGGCCGAACGTCTGATCCGCAAGATTCCGCAAGCTGTTTCGTGGACTGGTTCTGACTGGTTCAGGGTTCTTTCATGTTCTTTCTAGGCCCAGTTGCAATGCCCAAGGTTGATCGAACAGAAGTGCCAAATGCACAGGTCGCAAGCCCTCGAAGTAGGTGCGGCCGGTGCTTAGGGTCTGCAATCTGCCAGCATGTCATCACTGACAGTCTTATGAGTTGAGCATCCATGAACACCGGATGCGAAATTCTCACTGAGTTCTCATAGCTGTGCTGTTTTCAGAACGTATGTTGATATGTTGTAATGGATCAAAACATATCAAAACACCAAGGCTGAGAATCTGAGAACATCAAGAGAACATCAAGTACTTGCAAACTACTTAATCATCTTAATCTACTTGCAAACCACCTGCACGTGATGCGGTGCCTCTCCGTGAGCTCTGGTGAGGACAAGGTCTTGCCCTCCAACAAAGCTCTGGAAGACTCCATGTCGCGCGGCCATTCGAAGGCCTCATCGCAACCGTCAACATCTATGAACTTGTCAGGAACCAGGGATTTTGCCAGAAATCTCAACAAATCACAAAATATTGCCAAAAACATCCAAAAACAATATCAAAGACAGTTTGGTCAGTGCTGCAAGGTGTTTGGTTTCACCTTGTCGAGGTTTGTCCGCTGTTCCAGGAGTTCTTGCAATGCTTCCTGCCCCTGCAGGATGGCGGTCACCCAGTCCTGCACAGGACGGCAAGCGACGGCAAGACGGTGAATGGAGGATGGAATTCACCGAAAAGCAGAGCCTATTGTATTACAATATGGAATGTTTTTGAAACTGAAAAGAATGTAAAAGATAGTAAAAGTATTTAAAAGTCCTAAATCTCAATGTCATCAATGTCGTGTATGAAAGTCGTCCTCAAGGCTTATGGGGGAGGAACCGCCAAACATCTCTCGCAGAGACCGTCGCGCAAAGGCTGCCTGCTCAGGGGCCATCAGGGGCCAAAGCAATGAGAGGACCCAGAGGCCCAGAGGATCAACAAATATCACACAAAGATGGCTACAAACAGTTGACATACAGTTGACACTTTGACACCTCTGATTTCCAATGCAGAATGCCCATTCCGCCTCCCGGATTGTTTCGCTGACCTCTGCACCATGATCCATAAGGCTCGAACAGCCCTGCCAAAGGCTCAACATCGTTGAAGACTTAGTAAGATTTAGACAAGAGGATGTGTCAGTGCATGGGCAAACAAAGAAAGTCTCCCTGCTAACCTTCTTGCAAACCAATGACAAATGTGAGGCAGTTTGTCAATGTAGGTGCGTAGACAAAACTGAATGACCAAGCAAGAGCAATCATCATCATCATCATCATCATCATCAATATCAATCATCACCATCAGATATCTGAACTATGTAACAGTTTAATTGGTATGATTTCATGATATGGTGATCATCATCATCATCAATATCAATCATCACCATCAGATATCTGAACTATGTAACAGTTTAATTGGTATGATTTCATGATATGGTTCCATATGATGGTTCCAATGGTTCCGAACCGGCGCCTTTGCATCTTCCAAGAGAACTGCCATGTGCAGCGGCGTGACCTGGAGCTGATGAGCATCACGTTGTCTCTCCAAATGTCTTGATGTGACTGTAGCCGACTGTGGCCAACATGGCCAGCATGGCCAACATGGCCAACATGGGCAAATGTAACCTTTTCATACCTTCTGCAAGGTTTGCCTTCACCAAAAAACATCAAGGCCTGTGCCTGCAGCGTGGAACCTCCCACTTGTCTTTTTGCAGAGGTCTCCAGGTGGCAGTCCATCTGAACCAAAGTTGCAACCAAGTCCTAGGCTGAACTCGGCTGAACTGCTTGAAAGTGACCTGTTCCATACTATTCATTCACCAGCATCATCAGCAAGACATGGCACAAAACAAGAAGGGGCTCACCAGTGGACAAGCAAGCTAGATTCTAGATTCCTCGTTTACCACCGAAGGAAAGCTGACTGGGCGCAAAATTTTGCCCATTGTTGGGTTAGAATTGACAGTCGTCGCGTGTCGCTGCCGTCTTGACATTGTCCAACTTCCCTATGATGTCAGCAAATCCACACATCCTAAAACCAGCTCGAGCCAAAGCAATTGACTGAATGCGACTGAATGCAGTTGACTGAATGCAGTTGAGCAGCATAGGCATGACTCAATACCGCCAGGTGCATCAGAGTGAGGTCCGACCAAACTTCCAGCCTGGACCACTGTACGAGTAGCTGTTTTTAGATGCTTTTAGACTGTCTATGTCTGCACATGGCAAACGATGGCAAACGTAAGTATTCTTTGCGTAAGGAAATTTGGTTCTGCATTTGAAACCTGCAAGACACAGTGGCAGAACGAAAGTTGCAGAATTTCCATCAAGTCACTCTTTCTCTGCTCTGAAATCATCCGCTGAGTAGACTTTGCCAACACCTAAGAGACAAGGAACAAGACGGAACATTCCAAAAAAAGATGAACAATCAAACAACAATCAAACAACAGTGCAACTGATGCAGGTGTCCGTAACTGGATATATGGCCGATGAATTGCAAGCCAGTTGCAGCAAATCTCGGGGCTTATTCCGAAGAAAAGCAGCTGTTCTACCATCACAACATCTCCTCGAAGGCATGCCTTGGATACATATCGCTTTCAAGCTGCAACATGTTGCAAAAACAAACCTCCTGGAACTGGACACTTGTGGTTGTTCTCCAAATGTTGGCCGCCCAACATAACATGTCCACATATGTCCACATATGTCCACAACTCCGACGATTGATTGGTCCCCAATTCGTACACTAAAAAGGGAAAGAAGGCTGCTGTGCACACATGCTTCTGGAATAATCCAAATCAATTGCATCTCGCTTACAAGCATTATCTCTGAAGACAAGTTCCGAGACAAGGGTCTGTCCAAACAGAACACTAATTTCCAGGTCGAAAACCAAACTATTTCATTTGTGGCATGTAACTGTCGATCAAATGATGCATTCATATCTGACCGGTTGTCCACAAATTCCAAAACAAACCATGTCAAACATATCCTATCTTTTGCCAATTGTCCCAGCGTGTAGCAAGAAACTTCAAGCCGTCTCCATCACTATGAACTGTGCAATAACAGTGGGCTTGTGATTCTAAGGAAATGGCGGCCATCTCCAACACCCAATTTTCATGTCACAGGGCAACTGCCAAGATCTGCCAAGATCTGCCAAGCTGCCAAGTGTACGGCTTGGGCTGGCAGCACCATACGGCCGTGCCCCATGGGCACCGACCACCGCACCGTTTGCGCGGCCTGGGCACCCGCGTAGAGCAGCAGCCGGACCGCCTCACTGCTTCCAACCTGCGACGGATGTTAAGATTGTTACCTATTCATACCTATTCATACCTATTCCACATTGTTCCACCATGTGAATCCGTTGTGAATCAATAGGTTGTCATGCAAACGTCATGCTTTTTCACAGGATAGAACTAAAAGCAGGTTAGCAACTTGTGCGCATGTAGAATCACCACTGACGTGGGCAAAGCGAAAGAAAACTCGAGCCTGCGCTGCAAACAGCAACGCTGTGGAAGGTTCCTCGTCAAGGCCTTCCAACATCTTCGAATGTTCAGACACAACATCGCACAAAAATCAATCCATCTTTGGAATGTGTCATAGTCAAACATAAAATAAAGTGAATGGCAATATGGCAATATTCATCAATCATTCCAATTTCTTGCTGACTTGAACCATAGCCACACCCAAAGTGTACAAAGCACGATAAGAATAGATAAGATACAGTAGCCGTGGTGAAGTTTGGCGCTCCTGCATTCGCGCTGGGTGCTTCATCCAGGAGCTTAAAATCGATGTCGCTGGCACACCGATAGGTGACCTGTAAAAATCGACGAACTGCGGTTGGTCTTAAGATGTCTTAAGATGTCTTAAGATGTCTTACTTAAGTCATCTGAGTCATCTGTGAATATCTGTGAATATCGGTGAGCTGTTTGCTCAGCTGTTTGCTCTAGGCCTGGCATCTCATGGCATCTCCAAGCAGTCAATCATTGGAGTTGACATGATTTGACCACTCTTTGTGTCGAAAAAACGTCTGTCATCGTCTGTCCCTCTGTCCCTCTGTCTGTCCGAGTCACATTGTACTCTCTCCGGAGATGCGAGATGACTTCCAAGAAATCATTCAGGGCATAGGCAAGGCCAGGGGAACGAATGATCAGCTGCACCTGAAACAGGGGCTTTGAATGGTTTTGATATCTTTGATGGAAATCTGTCGAGATATTTCATTCATAATATGACGGTCATGATATAGATCATAATAGTCTCCACGGACAACGTTAGAAATTAGGATGTCTCCTGATCCCCAAGCATCATCGGCCTATAGTCTAGCCATGTCTAGCGATGTCTCGCGTGTAGTTTTCTGGTGACCTCGTCTCCCAGCAATTTGTCCAAGCGTTCCTCTGTGGCCCTGGTGTTGCTCAGCAGCCTCTGAAGTGAACTTCATGGAGATCTCAACTGGACTGTTTTCATGAATGGCACGTGGCAGCAAACAAATCTCAAAAAAAAAAGGATTACTGTACGGATTACAAGCATCGGTGATGGTAAACACTACAGTAGGTGGTTCGTTCACTGTCGTAAAGTATCGTAAAGTTTGATAGTTTGTGTTGATGCCTCAGCATCTTGAGCTTGTGAGTACCAGGACCGACTCCACTGCCATTGGACTACACGCCGACCCTCGCCTGGGTAGCAAAAGACCTGAGATTTCCTCGCCGTCTTTGCTGCGACAGGGAGCGCTCAGCCGGAGGCCGCTGCGCATTAGCAAGCGATATGCCTCTCGATCAAGAAACAATAAAAAATAACAAACAATCAGTATCAGACATTATCAGATATTATCAGAATCAATGTCTGCAGTGCAGCGAAACCTGTCTTTTGATCCATCTCCCTCGTCATCACGGATCTTGGAAGGAAGTAAGAGAGAAGGGAGAAAGAAAACCAGAGTAACAATCGAGAAACAGAAGGAATGATGGTACGAGAAACAAAGTCTTGGTTCCAAGCCCCTTGGGGCAAAGAGAGACGGGCAGCCTGTTTTTTTCCACCTGGCAACAAAGAACTAAGGAAAAGAGTTTGTAAAAGCGCGCCCAAGGAGAAGAGAAATTAGGAGAAGACAGAGAAAGTACAAATGCAAGAAAGGACAGGTGAAAGGACAGGTAAGGCTCCAGGTGACAAGAAATACATCGAAGTCGTCAACACGAACAGAGAAAAATGCAAGACCTGCAAGAAGGCCGCCGGCGACGAGTCCCACAGCAAGGCCGGGTAAACACCCCAGCACCACGACACTGCTAGCATGACCAGGATAGACCAGGATAGACAACATAGGCTGGCGGCTAGGAGATATTCATATATTCACAGAAATGATGTAAACTGATTCCAACTAATCCTGGGAAACAAATTCTACTGGGTGCTACTAGATAGAATTCCAAACATCAACGGAGCCGTAGCGAAAAAGACTGCATCGAAATGGATGGACTCAATGGAGCTGAGCCAAGAACTCAAGAAATGCTTGACACCCAACAGGGAGACAATGTCCCTTTTACGCGACTCCTTGACATGAGCCTTTCTTGTATTGTACAGTACAGTATGGTGATGAAATGTGATGAATAAAGCGACAAAAAGACAACAAACACCCGGAGAGGTGACAAAAGAGCAGCAAGAATCGGAGAGAAGTGTCTAAGCAGCTAGTGGCAGCGAGCCTCTTCACAGAAAACGTCTCTGATGATCAACACCTCAGGTAGGGTCTCTGCTATGGAGCCGGCTTCGATTCAGGCTTCTTGTGTTACCAAGTGCACAAAGAAATAATCTACTATCCTTGCCATGGTTGTCAAAAGTATTTTGGATTCCAAAAATCGTTATCCTGAATTTCACATTTCCTTAAACATCTCAATGCATTTTGCAATCTAGCCACGTGTAGGGCATGACAATCCGACAAACCGTGAGCAAGGTCCTCCTCACCCTCCACTGCTGATGCCTCCATTTCGTTCAAATGTCGCTTGCATCCGAGTGCTGAGTCGAGATTGAAGATGTCGCTTTCACATCACACAACATAATCAACATACATAAGTCATACATATATTTAGTGTCCATGAATGAGAAAAGCCAGGCACCGCAGGCACCTCTGCTTTGGCGTTGATGTCGGCTTTAGCCTCGATCAACGCAGTGAGCACCGCCGTGTCGCAGTGTAGCGCTGCCGCGTGCAACGGTGAGCAGAGCAATCCTGGAAATCCAGGCAACATTGGATAAAAGATGTAAAAGTCAATAATGTGTTCTGTGACATTGATCAAACATGACTTGCCATAGCCATCCTTAACATTCCTTAACCATACTATACCATAGCCATCCGCAAGCTATATAAAGTACCTGCCTACATCATATCAGAAACAGGAGTTTGTGTCACTGCTCAGGCATAACGGGATAACACATTAGGAGGACATGATGAGTTGTCATGCAGAACAAGACAAAAGACAGCCAGGAGCCTTCGTAGAAGCATTGAGCATTGGGATCAGCCCCAGCTGCCACAAGCTGTGGCCTGAATCTGAAAATGCACCGATCACCGGCAACAAACTCTTTCACCAACTCTTTCAGGAGACATGCCGTGAGTATCGTGAGTTCCTCACAGAAATTTGCTGAAGCTTTGGATGATTTGGATGATTTGGATGTCTGAGGTCTGATCAATTGATCCTCCAGCCGCAGCAATGATGCCACAAACCTACAGAACGGCGTCGACCACGCCCAGCCAAAAGAATTAAAACTCTGACTCAATCCTAGAATCCTAGAACTCTCCCAGGCTGTGAAAACATGTGAAAACCTGGTTGTCTTGTAACTGTCGAATATATTAATATAGTGTGCTGACAAACTAAAGCGCCAATTGCTCATAATTTTATCCATTATCCAACAATCCCCAACGGGCTCAAAGCGCTTGAAGCAGCTTGCCGTGGCCCACACAGAGGTGTGAGGAAAACTCCTTCCCAGTCAATGCTGGCTTCATTGATGCCAATGCTCCTGGCGACAGGTCGTAACTGTCGCAACTGGTTCATATTTTTTTCCACAACTGGAACTGCCAAGTCCAAAAAAGGAATCCCATGGCACCTGTCATCCTTTGCCAGCAGCTCTGTCAAGGGCTGGAAGTCACTGGCAAGTGCAGCATGTCATGGTCAACATGCAGCTCTAACCAAGATCTTCATACTGAAACTTACACACACACAACTACTGGTAGTTTTGAAGTGATCACTTCTCATTTTTTTTCTGAAAATCTCAGATGTCGTCAATGAAGGCTCTGATAAGGCTCTGAAATAAGAATGTTTTCAAGGATTTCAAGGTTCACTTTGATATTCCACTCATTTCAATTCTGACATTAGCCTTCTCAGGCACACAGCCAGAAAGGCGGCTTTCCATTGGTCTGCTGCCATAGGCTGTGGCTACAGGAAATGGGTTGATTGGTGCTGATTCTCATTGATTCGCTCATTCGCTATGCTTAGCGAAGCATCCAAACTGGTTAAGAAGGTTACTGGTTAGATCAGAATTATCGAACGATTCTGTTTTGAAAACGTCATCTGATCACGCATCCAAATTGCGTCTAAGATCATCCAAGCATTCCGCAATTCCGTTGCTGTTGACAATTTACTTGGGCTGGATATGACTTCCTGCTTCATGACTCTGCGGCTCGGGCCAACAACATCCATTTCACTTCAATAGTGGGAACAACCAAAAACCGACAGGCAAAAAACAACGGTCCTAAATATCCTAAATGCCAAAGCACATCAACGCGCCAACAATGGGAAACAGTGAAGTAAAGGATTTCTATGGATCCCTTTGGTTTCCACTTTCGGCTTTTTTTCTCTCTACACCGTCGGATCCTTCGGTTTGTAGCCACTCAGGCTCTGCAACATTGCCTGAGCAGATTGAACTGGGATTCACGGAGTCACCCGCTACAAATTTCACCAAATCTCTTCAACTCTTCTGGAACATTCTGGAACACTTCGGTGACCGAGTTCAAAATAGTTCAAATACCTTTCCGAACCTTAGTGAACCCAGACATCCGAGACACAACAAGATTCCTGCTCTCACATCTCACATATCTCAGAATCTCCCATTCTCTGCATGTCCCGCCCTAGTCACGCCTTCAAGGATGAGCGGTGCAGTGTATGAGCTTTCTGCGAAGCTGAGGTCCTGATGCTCAAGCGGAGACTTCGAGGGAGGCAACGAAAAGTTGGCTTCTGAAGTTCGAAAGCCACATGTCAAACTTGTCAAAGTTGTCAATTCTCCCAATGCAGAAATGGCTCGGCCAGCTTTTCAAATGGCATCCTGCAAGGAGCTGAAAGCCGTGACCTTGACCACCCTTGACCAAAACCTGAGCCTTGACTGTGACGGTACACTGCAACAAGTTACAAGATGTTACAAGGAGCTGCGATGCACCAACCTGGAGGCAGCAGCTTGTGCATGGGCACATCTGCGCTCAAGAGCGTGGCAACGCTGCTGCAGCTCAGTTACTTCCCATTCAACCTGGCAGACTCAGACACATTTTAGTTTCCCCTCCAGCATGCCAAGCTGTTTCTAAAGCTGGAGAGTGGAGTCTTGGCCTCGCTGTCAGTGGAATCTTCCAGCTCCTTGCAAACAAATTGGCAGCAAATGGCAGCAGTTGTCAGGGGCAAAAGTCGGTTGGACCATCTTTGTCCAGACCTCAACGCGGTCGCTTGCCGCTCGCAGCTGGGAAGAAAGCCTCAGTGTACCATCGGCAGTTCCAAGCAAACAGGACGTCCAATGACCATGAAGTTACCTAAATATAGAATTATTATTATGGCCGAAAAAGAAGATGGTATTATTTAAGTATTTGGAATTGATAAGCGATGGGTTTGTATTCCCAAGCAGGACGGGGGTGCAGGTGCATATTACTACGAGTACGAATTAGTAGAAAGGCACGGGCAGCTCTCCTATCGTCTAGTTGCCCAGCGTGTTTTTCAATGAAATTCGATTGGAAATATGACAATGGGCCATGGGCCGAGTTGCTGGGTTAATTCCTGATGGGTCTGGCTGCAAAAGTCTCGAAGGACGTTGCCCTCTTGCAACCTGCATGGCGCGACAGTTGAAGTTGACAGGTGCGTGGTTTTTGTTTGACTTATATTCGCTCTTGATCAAATTCAAACACTGATCAATAAGATTAATAAGTCCCAAGAAAAGGAAAACGATGTCTCATGATGTCTCACTTTCCACCACAAATCCATTCAATTCACGGTGTGCGATTCCTGTGATTGTCCCTGTCAGCTCAAAACGGTGGGATCACCTCGATGGAGGTCTTTTCAGAACGAACCTTTCGAGAAAACACCCAATAATTGGGCACGAATAAGACATTTGATGCCTCCAACCTACCCACATTCAGATCTTAATCATAATCATCTTTTTCAACTGATCCACATCTTGTTGGTTTCCGCTTCTTAGATCTTATAAGTCATTTACAGTTGCACCAATTCACCGTCCATTTCACCATCCACTTTTTTGGCGGCACCGGCGGTATCAGCGAAGCCCCGACAGCCTCGCAGCCAACTCTTCGGTCGCTTCGTCTCGCTGCCTTTTCAGCTCTGTCTGCCGCTGCTGCGCCAGCAGCTCAGCAGATTGCAGCGACTTCACCTGGGGAAGAGCGAAGTTCAGGCAGCGTTGAGTCATTCATGGTTAAAATTAATTGTACCAGTACCAAAGTTGAGAAGCATCTGAAATCCTGTGATACTTATTTTGGATCACAGCTATAGTTTGGACACTGATGATTAAAAGGAAGTGTATTTGGAGGGTTTGATGAGGATGTCAACGAAGGAAGAGCGGGAAGACATGTCATTGCAATATGCGTGTGGAAAGCTTGAGGTTCTATATGCAAGAATGGTCCAAGATCTATCCTACCCCTGTCGGTGTCCTTTCAGGGGCGATTGGGGGTGGGTGTCGTGACCAAATCAATCGTCAATATCATCGTCGATTTAATGTAAAACAAATGTCGCGCTAAAAAGGACATGCTGTATGGATTCAAGAATCCCACGAAACCATACGAAACCCATGTTTAGTTTTCTTGCTTAGTGACAACTCTTATAATGCCGAATAGATCTAAAACAGGTACCACAAAATACAGAGCTCATGCCACTCAAGGTGATGCAGGTTGCATGAGGCTTGGATGTGAGATGAACACAATGAGCAAAGCTCCGTGGCGTCGCAAGCCGTGGCCTCCTCGCCGTATTCCCTTGCAAGATTTTCCCGCTCCACATCCTGGCCAGACAACAAAGACATTGGAACAGTGGGTCACAACATGTCACATGTGAAAATTCATCGAAATTCACACGCCTTCAGTTCCAGCTTTTGAATTGCAACCTCAGTCTCTTGCCTTATTGTGTCGAGATCCTGCAGCAACTAAGACCGAAGGACAACTAGCATCTCAAAAGAGTAAACACACAGACACAAATCCCTTCAAATCAGATTCAAATCTTCCCGTCCTTTGAATGGATCTCTTTCAACCCAAGTTTTTCTTGCAAACACCTGAAAGCGATTGAATGTTCACGGCCTATGTCTTAGCCAACCTGCTTATGCAGCTGCGCATCCCTGCCTTTCCCTCCGCCCCTCCAAATCACCACGGCGATGCTGGCTTTGTTGCTTTGCCGAAGCCAAGCGCTGCCGCAGATCCTCTTGGAAAAATGGATGAAAAATGACTCTGCTGGATCAACTATGATCAATGATGATCAATTTGCTCTTATATTTCCCAGTAAAAGGGTTTGGAGTTTCATTGAGCTTAGTCAGAAACCTTCAAACAAACATACTGGATTCTACTGGTACAAACTCAAAACTGGATTTCTCTCCACAGCACCCTCTTCACACCCACAGCGCTAGCGTACAACTTCGACAGCTGCCTGCACTTGTGCTTGATGTTCCAACAAGTCTGACGCTGTTGCTGCTTCCTCTGTCTGGAGTTCACCTTCGCAAATCAAGCGTTCACAATGTTCACAACACACAGAATGCTCATTTCAAGTCATTCAAAATCAGTTAATTATAATTATAATCATTTAATAGCACCGTAATATACCGTAATGGCATCCAATAAGCCGGTAAGTATATTCACATACACCGTAACGCCGTACGTATATTTACTGCGGCCACCTCTTGTCTGTCGCAACTCGTCAAGCTGCCAACTGCCGTCTGCAGAGACATGAGCCTCTTCCAAACCTGAGAACCACTCAGAGTCCAGGACAATCCAAGCGGGTGATGAATTTCATTGAACTTCTAAGTTGTGTGGCTATTGATAGTATTTGATACTACAGTATGTAATTATGTGTGTATAAATAAACTTAAATAAATATATGTATTATTGATTCTGATACAGTAGTGGATGACACAGTGACGAATCAATAATACGATACAGTGCGTCACTGAGTCAATTAATGCCGCCGCAGTGACGTCGCAACTCTCGTTGCGCGGATGCACAGGCGTGGGCAGCTCGGTCCAAACGCTGGGAGGCGCGCTGGACACTGCGCTGCAAGCGTTCGCAAACGGCTTCTCTGGCCGCTAAGGTCTCCTGCAGCAAAGCGTGGCAGTGGCATCGGTTGATTGCCAAAGAAACAAAAACAGCAGGCGGCCTTGGTTTCAAGAAGCATGCGCTCATTTTGCTGCAGTTGTCGCTGGAACCTGGAGGTAAGCACAAGATTGGAGAAGGAAATGATGCAAATAAAATCTAAATACGTCACTATAATTATATTTAATGTCTCTGAAATTTGCACAATTTTGTTCCGTTAGGTCCGTTAGGTGAAGGTGAGATCTTAAAGAAAATGAAATACAGCCAAGAAACACTGATGCAGCATCGAGCAAACTCTTCAAACAATTCGCCTGGAACAGCAGAGAAGACAGTTCTCCAAGCAACACCAACCACTTTGAAAAGTGAGGACTCAACCAATCAAATTAAAGAACCACACCTCCACCGCACTCAAGGAATTCCAGAAACTTTGCATGGTTGATTGCTGTCCGGCCTGCGCGCGGAGCACGAGGAACACTGCCAGGGTCACACAAAGTAGATATTTGATGATATTTGTCCACTTTGTCATGCTACTGTAGCCAAGTCGTTAGCCGTGGAAGTGTTTGTGTATTTTGTGCGACTCTGCAAGGACTGATTTGTGAAATTTGTGACATGTTCGTCAGTTTGCGCCTTGCATTTGAATTTTCCTCAGCTACCAAGGTGGCCAGGCCATGGGAACCATGGGAACCCGCCGGACAAAGTTGGCATCTTTGTTTCTGACAAAAAAAAACATGGCAACAAAATGGAACAAATGTCGTGCTTGCCATGCCGCACCAAGGTGGTTTTTTTTCTGACATGGTCAAGAGTTGATTGCAAATCGTTTGCTGGAGATGTTTCAATCGCGATTTTCTTGGGTGGTTTGGTTCCATTGCCGTCATGAATTCTTCAAAAGAGCCAACACGTTCATCACACCGCAATGACCTGAATTTGCAAACAGACTTAGCAGTTCACCAAACATCCCAAAACAGGCCAAAAGCATCTTGAGGCCCAAGTTAAGGACGAAAACTGGGGGAGCTTGGCATGAAAACACAATGGTTAAGGATTTATCGGGGGGGGATTGAGCCACGGCCAAATTGTTTGTGCACCAGCCAGCCGGGGGGGGAAGGTAAATCTAAAGAATGACCGGACACTGAGCGGTCTTTTGCACACTTCGCTGCGTATCATCTCGCCCTTCACTGCATCCTCCTGTCAAACTTGGACAAAAGACTCTGTAACCAGGCAGAACAACGAACATATCAACAATAATTGACTTAATTGCAATTTCAAATCATAACATATCATAACATATCGATATAATTATTGTATGTCTGTTGCATTTTGGCGCCTCAATCAACGGGTAGGGCCGTACGCCTTGACAAGGCTCGTACAAAGAAGTCCATGCCAGTCCTGGGCAGATCATCCCCGTCTCAATCATCTCATCATGGAACAAGTTTCCAAAACTCTTGGTGAATTCAAAGTGAAATTAAGTGAAATTATGTGAAATTATAATCGAATAGCCGAATAGTTATCGAATAGTTGAATAGACCACATTCAAAGTTCTTGGTGATCTTGGTGTCCAAGATTTGGAAAGAGAGGCCAGTGCCCGTGCCCACCGTGTCTGCACAAAACAAATAGCTTTGTATGTGTTCAGTTTCATGAGCGATTGTCCGTGCTTCTTGCTCTTATCTTCACCATCATCATCATCATCTTCTTCTTTCTTCTTCTTCTTCTTCTTATTCTTCAACAATTTTCCACTGCCCAACGTGTCTCCCCAAGACATAAGTTGCTTCTACTGCTACTTATGTTTACACTTTTATGTTGTCCTTGATTCTTGCCACTGACGGTTCTCAAATTCTTCTCTGACAATTCTCCGAATGCCTTGCCTGCTAAAAGAATGGTTGTTTATAATCTACACTGTACGCGGCTTAATTTTGCGCCTACTTCTCTTTCTTTACGTTTCTCACATTCATCTCCTACAATTTTCCAGTTTCAATTGTGTCTGTTCAAGACATAGTTTGTTTCTTATGCCATTGCCATCAACTTTTCTTCTTGGTCTTGACTTTTCTCACCCTCTCCTTCATCTCCTTCTACAATTTCCCAATCGACCCTGTCTGCCCAAGGCAAACGTTGCGTGTTTCCATGCTGGTCTCCTACAGTTTCACCATGCCATACAGCGCATACGATGTCCAATGTGCCCAAGACACGGTTGCTTCATGATTAAAAAGATATCATGTGGGTACTGCATCAGTCCTACATATATAGTTGATTTTGATGTTATTCGATGCTATTTGTTCTCTTTGTTCTCCCTTTGGTGTTTGGTTTAACATTCTTCTAGTATCCTTCCCAACGCCCCCTGGTTCTGCCAAGGACACAGTTTGTCTCCTCTCTTCCTTTGTCTGATATTGTTCTTGTCAGTTCTTTTGCACGTGTCTATGTCATTCTATGTCACTTGTCTTTCCCAATGCTTACTGTGTCTGTCCAAGACAGAGCGTGTCTCATGTATGTGCTGGTAGAGCTGGGCCTTCTTTCGTGCTCTTCTCTCTCTCTCTCTATTCCCCACCTGCCAGGTGAGGGCCTCTAGATTTTTCACAGAGGCGCAGCTCCATCTTCTCCTCCTTCTCCTCGCCTGCTCCTCTGCCAGCTCTGGATGCAGCTGCGCACGCCTGCATCCGAACCCCTGGAGGCAGTTGGGCACGCCTGAATAGATGCCAGAATGAATGTCAGATAGAAGGACTGAATATTTTTGCCGGTCATTACTTCCAGATGATATGCCAGAAGCTGTCAAAATAGTGTGTCAGGGTTGGGATTACTAGAAGTAAGGTAATTCTTGTAAGTGATGTTGTCTATGTGCACAGAAACTGCTTCCAATGAGCCCAGTGTCTGCCCCAACAAATTCTTAGATTCCCCTTTGATGCCATTGTTGTTTCTTTTAGTTGTGCGTATGTTATGTCCTGCCTTCACCCCTTCCCCCTCCTCACAGTGACCGCAAGAGACATAGTTTGTTGATCTCTCTAATTCTTAGTATATGATTATTTGACCTTGTCCATGTCTCTTGGCATTTACTGTTTTCTTGCATTTCTTCTGCAACTATCTGTCAGCTCAAGACACAATCTGTTTCTGCTCTATATTTAGTTTCTAGTTTGTAGTTTCAAGTACTGCCCCCAACCTTTCCCAATTTCCACCATATCTATCCATATCTGACCAAACCAGGTCTGATTCCCACCTCTTTCTGTTTTCCTCCTTGGTTCCTCCGGTCTTAAAGATCGTATGCTCTGTGTTCAAAATTGCTGTCCAGCCTTTTTTCCCGTCTCTTCGTCAATGGCCTTAAAAAGCCTTACAATAAAAGATCTTAAAAGAGTGTCTACTCTGTGGTCCAAACGTGTATGATCGCAAGCAAACAACATTTCCTTGAGGACACAAAAGTCCTCAACCTTCCCTCGGGGAAGCGAGTGCTTGAATGCAATTACGACCGAACATGACCTCATCATACCTCACCCGTCAACTACACTCAAAGCTAACGTCGTTTCCATGCTTTCTTGCTTGCTTTGTGTTTTTCTGTCTCGGTCTGTTGCAAAAGCTTCCTGGACCCCTACACTCACGACCTTTGAGTCCGTCTATGCGGTCCAAACAAGCTGAATGTCCCTTTGAAAGTGCTTTGGATGGAATTTTCATACCACCCGGAACATCCCAGAGACTGCTTTCGCATATCCCCATTTCAGGATGCTGCATGTCCAAACTGTGAAAGACTTGAGATTTCCGCCTGACAGCGCGCGTGGCCATCCATTCTGCAGCTGTGTTTTTGGTTGCCTGGCGGCCCAATGCCCAAAGCTACCACAAAACCCACCATAGTGGACCAATGTGATTAGCAGATTAGCAAAGCTGGGATCACACGTTCTATCACTCCAGATATCCATGGGTCCAGAAGATCAGGTAAACCGTGTTCTATCCCCGGTTACATGTTAAGACTGTTACAATTTCTTGGGATCAGGATCGAAAGATGGACTCCAACTACCAGAAAAACACAGGTGAAATCCATGAAATCCCTCGAATCCCACGTTCCAGAGCTTCTCAGACCTCGGCACCACGTTTCAGAGTCAAACGCATCGCAGCAGAGGCTTTTTGCCTCGCCTGTGGCCAGTTTACAGAGACTTGAGCCCCCGTTGGTTTCTACCATTTCCTACCCCAGCCGTTGGCACAATGACAATGACATTTCAATAAGGTATAAAGATGTATAAAGAATTATAAAGAGGATGTTTTCCAAACAGCAATGCCACTCACGTCTAGTGAACCCATCAATCCGGTGGATTTGGGATTGGCATCCCTTAGCACTGCTATGCACTGCTCCATTTCCCGCCTGGGAGCTCATGTGAGGAAACAAATAGATAACGCGGTAGTCAGACTCCAACACTTCGCGTTTCTCTTGCCACAGGGCAGTGAAAGACTGGCAGAACCTCAGAAAAGTCAGCATCACCACGGAGTTGACGACGAAAAATCGTAGAACATGTCAAAAAGCCTCTGAAGCTCCTGCAATCCCAAGTTATTTTGTAGAATTTGTTCAAGGCTGAGCTCTTCACATGTGACCTGCCACACCACTTGAAGCAGAATCGACGCACTTAATTCGGAGATTCAATTTTGGCATTCAGTCTTTCAGCTGTGCAACAAATCCCTTTGGCATGGATGTGAAGCTGGAAAGCCTGATTTTGCACAAACAAGGGCCAAGAAAGGAGATTATGGATTCGTGCGTCCACGGTCTTTACAGTACATGTCTTTACTAATTATGCCATTCTGTTGGCACGAGTTCTTCAAAGATCTCAAGGGTATAAAATGAGCTGCTGCCAACCTGCGACGCATCCCACAGACACTGCGATAGGCACCAGGGTGTCCACTGAAAGCCGCCTGCACGGGCGTATAACATTTTGTATAAAACACATGTTTTGAAAATCATACAAGAACTGAGTTGCAAGGCAAGCCAAGAAGCCAAGATGCAGCTGTTCCTTTCTTTCTCCAGATTCTGCCCTTTTTCTGATTTTTCTGTGTTTCTGGTGCTAATTTCACAAAACGAACTCCAGGGTTCCTACCCGAAGGACTGTGGCTGAATAAGGGTGTAGAAGACCAATGGCACTAGTGCCCCTGCAATGGCTCCAAACCTCATGTTACTCTGTCATACTCTATCCCCATTGCGTGAGGCTCGACAAGAGCAGCAAAATGAGGGTCTGAACCGTGACATACCGGGACCATATAGCGCCATAACGTATCGTGACGTCATTTGAGATCCTCACTGTCTCAGCCACAGGACCATGCCTCAGACAGTGCACAATGCAGCAAGATGACGTTCAATTCAATGTCGACTCACATGAAATTTAGCCAAATCACAACACCACCAGGGCGTCGGAGAAACTTCTCTCCTGGCGACAAATGGAGCCAATCACTCTTCGATGGATTTGTTTGGACCTCATACATGGGTAATTGGCTGTAATTGGCCATTGATGTAGTTGGCTGACAAGCACGGCAATATCGGCAATGACCAGGTGACTCATAGTCTGATAATGTCTGATATGTCAAAGACCAAGCGGGGCAGATCCACAGGAAAGTCATCGTGCGCGGCTGCTGGACAACTGCCTTAGTGCTCTCTGTGGCTTCGCTGCTGCAAAAATACGTGTTTTTGTTTACGGTTTTCTCATGTTTTCTCATGTTTCTCTTGATCTATCATGATCTATCGTCCATTATCGTCCCAATTCGTCCATTGTCCCATGCGAAACAAATGTTCAAGACAGCATACACAACTCGTTATGACGGCCTCACTTGCCACATCCTCTTGGAGGTTTGATGACAGATTATGAAAAGGTGAAAGGCATGTCTGGATATGTCTGGGTTTTCAGCGAAAGCTCCCATTAACAGCAAGGTGATGCCACCTATGAAGGCCTCCCAAGCGGAATCGAAGTGACAGGAAGTGATACCTTGGGAAATCACCAGTAGAGTCTGTAGAGTGATGTGTAGGCCGACACGGGGGCTAAAGCGGCTAAAGAAAATGTGGAGCGATTCACGATTATGATACGATTATGTATAGTATAGGATGGAAATCAAATGATTCTAATGAAGCACACCAAAAGCTGGGACAGGAACCGCGAAGACGAAAGGGTTGGAATTAAAGGCTTTTGATTGATACAGTACGTAGGTAGTCCCCAGATCACAACTCTGCAAAGCCATGCAAAGCCAAAACCGCCGCAACGGAGAGGGTAGGCTTTTGATTGGTCATAGGCCATAGGGATTCATAGGGTAGAGAAGAGGGGCTCCCGGTCAGTTGTGCCATGTTGTGACTCACATGACTGCAGTCCCAGCAGGCACCTTCCGGGCACCCAGAAGGCGGAGGAGGACAGATCTTCCTATCAGAAGTTATTGTTGCAGCTGTGACATGACAATGATTTGATACGGGTAATACCAAGATGTGACATGTTTCCGTTCCAGCAGCTGAGCATGCAACTCTGCAACAGAACCAGCGCGCGTGCCTGCATCCGGGAGGAGTATGTTCCAGGTTCCACTTAGATTTTTGTTGGCCATGTTTTTCTCCATCCTCTACATATCACCAAAAGGTGCTGAGGTGCTGTTTTCTTTCCATCATTTTCCATCCAATTCACCTGACTTCCTTTTTGATCTTTTGTTTGAAATGCTTTTTCTTTCTGGTCCTGGTGATCTCAGAACATTGTGGAAACAAAATCAAAGTTTTCAGCATGCCAAATCAATGCCGACAACTCACATTCCGTTTTGAGCGAGTCCGCTTGGCAACCAGCCTGTGCTTGTGCAGCCACCAAGCCAACCGCGAATGCCAGTGTGCGGTACTCCACCAGCCTCGTGAGCTGAAATAGATCGAACTAGCATGCAACCGGCCACCAGCAATGCGAAAGATTGCGAAAGGTGCCCAAGTCAAGGACTTGAAAGTGGCGATATTTCATGAGATTTCTGCTCAACAGGTCCCAGACGTTGCTTGTGTGCTTGTGAGAGGCGGCCCAAGAACTCGTAGTTTGTGCAGGCCACAAACACGGCCCATGATCTCCTGTGAACACCGACATTTGTTGGAAAGCAGTCACATGGTCCATTCAGGCTGGCCATCGTGAAAGCTGTCAGCATGCGTGTTTACCTCATCCTTCTGGTCTCCTTACGCTGAGGATCTGTAAACATTTACAAGCTCACCCTAATTCACCCATCGAATTTATAATTGTACACAAAAGGGATACAACCTTCCACCTAAGGATGCATGGATGAAGTATGATGAAGTATATTTCATCACAATTTATGCCTGCTCATGTGAATAACTGAATAACAAAAAGCATCAAAAAGCCAAACCTCTAAAACAAAGTCGATGAGGAGGCCAATCCACAGCCACTCACGCCAGCGGGTCACCTGTTCGCGACCTGACACCCAGATTGCATCGCTTGCATCAAGACTTTTTTGGTCTTAGAATAGAGCGTGATGAGAATGGATAAAGAGTGGAGGGGAGTGGCATTCTGTGTTGAGGTCCCTTGTGCTGAAACCATGCAGCTGTCTTGAGTCTCCAACAAGCCGCAAAGCGTGGAATCGGCTGCTGGTCCAAAGCAGCATCGTCACTAAGATCGCCAGCCCAGCGAAGGTAGCCACTCGCCTGTCAGCACACGCATTTGTGTAACAGTTGCCATAAAACGTTGTTGATCGTTTCACACATGGTCAGTTCCAAGCACATCTGTCACACTTGTCAAGCTTGTTTTCATGTCGAAGGAAGTTCAAGATCTGAGTCTACTCTGAGTCAGGGGCTAAATTGAAGACCCCGAGTAGAGCAAAGAAAGGCGCCTGCTGATGCCAAACAAATACAAACATCCAAAAAACGCGTGAAACTGCAAACGTTCATTGGTGTGCCGTCATTGTGTGCAACCAATTTAGATAATTTAGGTCATAGAAACTGAAAGGCCGAAAGTTGGTGTCACAAACCGGCCTCTTGCGCCCCTTGCAAGATGCTTCGAGTCGCCAAAAACACCGAGATGCCAGGAATCAAGGTGTACAGAACGAAAACCAACGTCGCCTAGGCATAATCAGAATATGTCAGAATGGTCACGAGCTCAAGCTGCTCATGATGATCCTGTCACAGTCAGACTATCAGACGATGTCGAGTCACTGGGATGCTCAGGAAGTTCTCTAAGTTCTGCTGGACCTGATCAGCCGTGGTTTCCAGATTCTTGTGCTCACAGTTGACCAGGGAATCAGCGAGGTGCTGGGGAACCGACCCAAATCACTGCCAGAATTCCTAAAACCTGACAGGCCGAAGCTTCTCAGTTCTCGTGACGCGTCATTGAGGATGTTTCAAATTATCGTCAGATATCCCCAGCCTGCATGATCAGAAGAACTCCCACTAGGGCTGCCAACGGCAGCTCCTCAGAGGGCGCAACTCCGTGGAGTTTTCGCATGGCTTCAGCAACTTCTGCCCGGGATCCACCGAATTTCGGGCTCCGGCCATGCGCTGTGCCATCAGTGGGTAGACCTTGTTGAACACGAAACGAGCAGCAGAAACAAAGATGGGCAGCAGCCTCGGTGTGGGTCAAAGTCAGTTGCAATTCTCCAGGGTTCTGCTGAAATCTCTGGAAATTCTTTCTCAGGGCCAGTCCACAAGGCCAAAAGCCCAAGGACCACTGTGGGTCTCTCATCCATGGACAAAGGCCGGAAGACTACCTCGGACGAAATCTCATGAGGTTGCAGAACAGGTCTGCATGTTTGTGTATGACGAGAAGAACGACACTTAAATGACTTATTCCACTCCAGCAATCAAACATGGCATGTATAATAGGTGTAGATGTGCGTAGATCATGAATCATCTATATTATAGTCATTATATGATATTATATGTCATTATATTGTATATATTATAGTCTATATAGTCTATATATTTATCATCCGCCATGTCGTCGCATCTCATCCGCCATCGTCCTTTCCAGATCTTTCCAGGGTCCCGGCAAGTGACACTTGTACTGGAGACGTAGCATCGGCCACCAGGGTATCATCTGGATTTTGTCAGGGCACGCAGCTCAGCTGACCAAGACAAAAGTCTAAAGCCTAAAAAACGTGTTTTTCAGTTTCACTATAGAAAATATCATAAGTTATACCTGTTATACTGTTACACATATATATATATATGTGTGTGTGTGTTATATTATTTCCTTTTACATGAATTGCCGCAACAGCCGCGGCACTGAATGATTCATCCAGGGCCTGATTCACTGCTTAGGGCTGCAGCATTCTCAGTTGAAGCATCCTCCAAGGTCAAGAGGCACGGTCATGCTGAACTACTGAGGTCAAGATATGTCAAGATGTTTGAAAAAATCTGAAAACATGTTATATAACAATTTGATATACCATAATTTGACATAGTGTCGTTAACATGTGTGAAGTGTTGACATAATTGACATATCAATTACATATCAAATATGTCAACATTGCACCATCGAGGCATCTAAAGCACTTGCAACTGCTGCAACTCCTTGGTATTGCTCGCCAGCAGGCGACCAGCCACTTCTAAAAGGCCAACCACCTGGTCGCAGAAGGTTTGGTGTCACGCTGCAGGTCATCTGCTGAAAGCTCGTAGCATATCACACACTCACTGTAACTCAGCCATATACACACAAAGCAAAGTACACAAAAATAAAAATGTTTGTCTTAAAGTAGGCATGACATGAAATTCAAGTACAGCATACGAAGTTGAGTTCTTTGCGGCTGCCAACATGCGTCACTATCTACAGTATTAACAGTATTAATTAGTTTAGGGTTTGTTCGGGAAAGCACACCTGACCGGATCCTGGGCCGGCCTGTCCCGCACTCTTCAAACCAGTAGCTCTGACGAACGTCTCCTGAAAATCGCAACCGGAAGCCACATGTCAGCTGAAAATTTCGACGACCAACGTTCAAGGAGTCAAATGATTCAAATGTTGGATTTGATTGTGGAAAAGGATGGCAAAATATGCAAGTGTTATAGATGAGTTCCGGCAGCGAATCAGGAGTGAAAGGTTAAAGTGTCCTTGGCCAGAGCTCGAGACACAAGAAGTGCCACTCTGCGGCTTGAGACCACATCCTGCAGGGCAGTTGTAGATGTTGGATGTTCGACATCAGTAACTGGAAGTGATGTGAAGCACCTCCAGCCCGGCAACAGAACCAGGGTTGGCCACGGCAGGGTTTGCCTTCACAAAACCTTGGCTCCAAGACTGCTTGAGTCTCAAGTGCATCTATCCTTTGTCAAGTCAAATTAGTCAAATATCGGTTGCTTGTGATTTTAAGAGTGCTGATTGAGGATTTAGATGTGTTTTCCTTTAATGCAGGTGCAACACCTGCTATGATGTGTGCTCAGTGCCTCTCCTTGCTGCGAACTTGCACTGCCACTTCCAGCAGACACCTTTCGCACAACTCCATCGCCATGCCAACCCGCAACAATGCTGATCTGATGATATCATAATCTGGCTGGCTTTAAATTTGAATATTAGTCCAAACTTTTCCAAAGCTCAGCTTCACATAGTTTCACCACGTTCCATGGAAATTCTGCCGAAGAAACACGTCTCATGCCATGTCAATGTGAAGTTTCGGCTCTGCCAAGGCACTGCTGGCACGGCTGGGCTGCCACCACCCGCAGGCACCAAACAGGTGAGGATCAGTGCTTGCCTGGGCAGGCACCCAAGCTGAGCTGTTGGAAAGTGGTCACTGGTCATCTCCTTTACACATCTTTACACCCGTCCACCATAGTCTACCATAGTCTACCCAGTCATCGCATGTCATCACATAGCCAAGGAACGTTTCCGAGCTGCGGGTATCGTGGCCATACAGGTGGGCCACTAACGCACAGCGCCGGATGTTTCGCCAGAGCCTTTGCGCATTTCCAGGACAGTTGGACTTTGATTCATTTTGATTCAGCATCTTTGGTGACAGTTTGACTTTGGATCCAAGAGACTCCCGCAAAAGCACGGTGGAGCAACCCACAACTGGCACCTGCTCCACAGCAAGCGAGATGAATCAAAGTGATCTCGTAGCGACACGTCAACTTGTGTCATCTCTGGGAAGCTGGGTTGGAAATGAAATGTACCTTCAAAATCCATGTTCACAACTGATGAATCAGCATGAACCAGACATAACCAGACTAATTCAGCCTGTCAGTTTCTGGCCACTCTTGACCCAGAAATAGCTTGCATCGCGTTCCAATGTTTTCCATGGTGTCACACTGTGTCACATGCCTGCTGAATCAGGAAGTCTGGCAACTTTGAGCGCCAAGTGTCGTCATCCTCGATGCGTGCCGCGGCTTTGACAGCGGCATTACCTGAGATTCAACGGGTTTCCCAGGCCAACCAGGACATGCTGGATTATAAAGTAATACAAGTGTGCACACTATCAAATCTATCAATTCATTATGTTATAAATACTTTATTGATACTTTATACACTATAAGTAATATACTAATGAGATGCACCAGATCTACCAGACTAATGATAGTGCAAAAATGTGCCAAGTTGTCAAGAATTCCTTCCTTCCTCTGAAGAAACCTAGGAACAGCAATGCAAAGAGCGGCGACACTGGAAATGCGATGATTGCGATTCCAGATGCGATCGTTCCGATGTGCGTGCAGCAACTCTGCCGCTTGCTCAGCAACGGAGGGAATTCGAACAGATGGCAGACGCACACCAGCAGTGGCCTTTTTGCTGCCATGAGAAGAGTGCGGGCTCTATAGATGGTTCCATTATGTTCTAAATATTACGTTCTACTGGTAGTGGGTTCATCAGCTGAGGTGTCAATGTCTAACGTTTGCACCATGCTCATGAGGTGCACCTTGTAGAGTACATGGTACCAAGTATTGGAAGAAACTCACGAAGAACAAAAAAGTTTTTTAAAAAAAACTGTCATGGAGTCATGCTCACAAACAAGAGCTGCCTTGCCTGGTCAATCGTGAAAGAGAGGACCGATTCCAATTTCTTGGAAAAGTCCTGCCAGTTTCTGGCAATCCTTCTTGAAAAAATATCATGCTGAGTGGCTGGAAGATGAAACACTCAGTGGGTCGATGCTGTGCAAATCATGCGCTCAAAGAGATGCAAACAGCATCAAACTGTTGCATAGACTCGGCCGCTCCTCCACGGATTCCGTAGACCCCACGTCCGGTGGCCCGGCCTCGACATATGGTGACGTTCGTAGAACATCGTGGAACATGTCCATGTCTTACAAATGTCTTACAAATGTGTTACAAATGTGTTGCAACCTTCGATCCGATTTGCTGAGCATCCTCACTGAGACCTGTTGTGCCGGAGACTCTTCGTTCACTCCAATGCTGAGTTCCACCTGGAAACAGATTGCGAACTAATCAATGACCAATGAATCAATTTTTTGCAAAAATTGTCACCAAATCGGTTTGGATAGGTTTGGCCTCATGGCCGTGTTCATCGGCCGAAGTGGACATCGGCTCAGACTTCTCGGACCACTTGGTGACACCCCCAGACAACGTCACGCCCCTGGGCGTACAGATCGTACAGGCAACATGAATCAAATTGAATCAACATGGCAAGCTTTGGAGACTTATGGAGACTTTTATGATTTTCTATTGTTTAATGAGAAAAATCGTCTTCGCCTTAGTTGGAGAGTGTAAGTGCTTTCCTTCTTCAGCTGATCCACCGTGACCACCTGCAGAATTTCACTTTTGGTGGACTTTCAAACGACTTAAGATGGTGGGAAGTGGGATCGTCATTTTGTTCAGTCTATGTCAGTCCGATGTTCAACCTTCCTTTTCTGCACCTGGTAAAGCTGAAGCTGCTGAGTCTCAAACCCATCTGTTCTCTGATGTGACGCGCACAGCCAAGGACTGACGGTCGAAGCGCAAGGGCTTCGACGGACTGCGCCAGGCACCTGGTAACCAGCTCCAACAAACCGTTGACGCCGAGCGGACATTACACTTGATCGGTGTTTGGAATAGCATGGAAACCAATGCATGGAGGAGCTCTTGCATCCTAATCTTGATGAAACCGCTTTTTTACTCTCATTGACAGGCGGCTAGACCAATGCAGAACATGCTACATTGCAAATTGGCCGCTCCGGTTCGGCCCCTAATGGTCGCACGGTCCTTTGGATGTGAGACAGCAATGCAAGTTCAGTTCAGTGGAACGATGCAAGCGAATTACACAAATAGTCAACTAATTAGCCACCATGAAATCACCAGGACAGCGAGGAGGAAAACTGAAAAAAAGAGAGCGAAGGACAAGTCGCACTTCCCCCAGCCAGGAATGCGACTCCTCCGAAACCGACACCGAAGAAACAACAGCAAACGGGGCCAAGGCCCAATTCAAACACATGATGGTGGCAAGCCAAGCAACTTGGCAATGGCCTAATGGATGCGGCAATGCTATTATCAAAATTGGAACAAGCCAAACTGTACAAGCAAGAAAACTGTACAAGTGAACCAATATACTAAATCTTCTAAGGCCCTCTCCGGGCCTTCTTGGGGGCAGACCAGCCAATGTGTCAGTTGTGAAGCCCGGCATGGCAATCATACGGAAGCTTCGTGTGGATGCCGTCAGCAGCCAGCAGCAGGCACAGCTTGCCAGGTCCAGTAGCCGTTCTCCTGCACGTGCTTCCAAACCATGCCAAAGCCAGGGTCGACAGCAGGTGGGCTTGATCCTTCGCACCCTTTGCCGCGCTGCGTGCAGCACCAGTGCTTCTTCGAAGGTGACCATGCACGGAAGAAGTTGTTCAAGGCAGCTTCGCAGTCAAATGGGTCTTTGCCAGCAGCATGAACTTCACAGCCAACTTCCTGGATGGAGCAGGCTCGGCAAATGTCACACTCGACCTGCACCTTGCTGTAGGCCAACTCGCACCCATTTGCCTTTGCACCGAAGACATTCGTCTTCGTCCAGTGGATGCGGTCAACGCACTTGGAACTCTCTCCTGCATGATCGCAGACAGCATCGCACTTCAGAGCAGAGAGGGTGGTGTGAGGGCAGCCCTTCTGAAAGTTGCTGCAGCACCATGAACGCTTCTCTGCACCCCACATATGAGCAGCACCGGAACTGCAATGGAATTTCACGCAGCCCCTGTTGCGTTTCGAGCAGCACCAGTCCTTCTTGGAATCTGACCAGCCCTGCATCCAATTGGAGAAGTCAGCGTTGCAATCATAGATTCGCCAATGTGCGTGTCCCAATAGCCACTTGGTGCAATTCGGAGACTCTAGGTACCTGGGATACCCGACCTTTTTAAAGTACCTGACCTTTCTTGCCGGAAGTAGGGATTGTCCCATTCCTTTGGCAAAGACATGAGTGTGGAGGTGGTAGCTGCCATGCCAGGTGCCAGGGCATCCCATGCTCATGTGGTCACAGCACCAGGACTTCTTGTGTGCAGACCATCCGAAGAACCAATTGGAGTAGCCTTCATGGCAGTCATAGTGGAATTCATGATGCGGGTGCTCATAGATGATTTTCGGAGGCAGGTGGAAATAACGGTTCTTGTAGACGATTTGGGGTGGGGAAGGCACCGGCACATAGTGATTGTGAGCAGGGTGGAACACTGGCACATGAACCACCTTGTCGACGACCTGCTTTTCTTCAGGGCAGCCTCGGCCCTTGAGCGAACAGCATTCTTTCTGGTGCCATTCAGTCCAAAGGTTTTCCCAGTCGTGGTGGCCATCATCGCAATTGAGCACGTCAGAGTAGCCAGGGGAAGGACGGGGCCAAAAATACCACACAAGGATGCAAAGCGGCAACAGCAGCAAGGCAACTGCGACTCCCAAACACCAAGGACGGCAACGGTATCCCGTGTAAGATTTCACCACCTCCTTCTCATAGGCGCCGTGTCCTGCTCCCATCCATTGCATAGAAGCATTCTGGGACCATGAGCCTTTGCTCTCGCCAACATACACGAACTGCTCTGACCTCTTCACCTCACCTTCTCCCCCACAAGCAGCGTAGCACGCGTCATCTGCAGCCATGGGAAAATGTTCCCAGTGTGGTGCCGCGAAGTATCAGCAAACGGAGAAGACAAGCCGCTGAGAGCCAAATCGTGAGCCAAAAGCTACCGATGGATGGCTGGTACAAATCACTGGAAATTCGGAACGAGCAAGTTTGCGCTGTTGTTACTGAGCACACATTGTAAATTTAACTTGCCAGATTTTGTCAGTGCCTTCTTGACGGCGAACTTCGTAAGCGATGATTCGCTCATCCTAGCTTGGGGTTTGAGAAGACCAAACAAACTTCAAATTTGAGAATGTAGGAGTCACATTGCACGCAAAGTCTCGCCTCAACGCCGGCGAAGGAGAATGTGAGCGCACGAGCTGTGGCATAAACAAGTTCTGGAGCAGCAGGTTCCTTTTGTGACATCGTGGCAGTGGCACTCAGTGGCTCATCCGGATGGAAGACTTGGAAAGTCAATCGAAAACATTCAAAAACCATATTAATCATATTAGATCTATGGAGATATCTGAGAATTCTATGGAGATATCCAAAGGATGTGTCTTGGCTGCGGTCCTGGGCAACCAGCGCAGTGCAAATGGGGTTCTCACCCACTCGCGACCAGGCACCAGAGCCACTTACGCTCACCGCTCGGATCTCCAGCACCTCAGACGGTGCAGCGCAGTCATACATGGAACATTGTATTATCATGTATTATCAATTATCAATTATATATTATCCCATTGTATTATCCAATTTAAATGAATTGAAACGGATTTAAACGGATTTAAACGGATGGCGACTGTTTGCCTCAGCGTTGTTGCTTCAGGTTGCTGTGCTGTTTGCATGCCGTTTCACGCAGAGCGCAGTCTAACCTAGACTCCTGAGCTCTGGGAAAGAAGAATCCTGAAGTGTCTGCATAGTGTCTGCAAGAGCTGAAAACGGTGGTTGTTTAGTTGTTTAGAGATGTTTTGAACCTGTAACCTTGGCTGTTGGGACCTTTACATCTCGTGGTCTTCGTTTGGCACATTGGGTCAATCTGGCAAATCCTGAAAAAACTGTTGGAGCGGAAGCCGACATACAAGTGAGATGTTGAATTGCTTGCAGTTTTACATGGTAATTCAATGTAATTCACTGGTTCCCGGCTGCATTCGTTGGGTTTGCTAAGCCCAAGGCGTAGCTTTTCTCTGGCTCCAAGTCTTTGACAGCAAACTGAAACTGGCCTCCTTCACCCATTGTGACTGGATCCACCTTCCAAGCTGTTCGTTCTGACAACTCTGACATTCTGTGGACATTCTGTGGACTCTGGTCATCTCTGGTCATCTCTGGTCATCTCTGGTCTTACAAATGTCTTACAAAGATATGACTTCTGCCTGCCTCCACAGTCCATGGCTCAGACCAGGCAAGGCCTCGCCATGTGGTCCAAGGGGCTGACCGCAAGCAATAGCCACACAGGTGCAGTTCCTGCGTGCAGCAAGAGAAACATGCTTTATAAACTTTATATTGCTTTATAATCAGTTTTCAGGTTTTAAAACATGAAAAGATACATTTTCTTCCAAACCTCAAATACCTGTACCTCCAATTAATTTATAGGACGAAAAAGAACATGTGATGTACAATGAGCGAACTGCAAATAATTTGTTGGTCCATATTGAGGTAGATCTGAGTCGGAAACAGCTGTCCTCAATGGACTTTGTGAGTCCCAACTTGTCAAAAAGACTCTGCGGGATCCCAGGTGGCAACTGCACATGTTCCCAGGAGACGAGGATTTGATTGTGTTGCACCTCAGCTTCAGAATCTTCAGAACACAATGATGAAAGTCTGTTGCAAGAAAACAATAGAAAACCATTGTGCAATACACCTTTCATCTGCCACAACTGGGCACCAACAGTAGCAGAGACTGGATCAATTGCACATGTTGCTGTGTTCTTGTTGATGTGATTCTTATCATTCTCCTCTCCGTCTTGTCTCCTTCTTGTCTTCATCTTCTTTGTCTTCTTCTTCTTCCTCTTCTCCTTGTTGTTGTTGTTGCTGCTAGTTGTGGTCATCGGTTTCCTCTAGTGGCCTGTTTTTGCTATCACGTTCTCTGTTCCATCACCACATTGGTGGCCTCGTCCACGCGTGCTTCGGTGACCCGAGGAGCCACTGGCACTGTGCTCACCTGCAACGAACAGAACTCGACGTCACCGAAGCCGCCAGCACTCAAAGTCACCGTCAGCCCCTGGCCTCCATCGACAGCGAAGACCAGTCTCCCTGACCAGCTGCAGAGACTGCCGCAGCCTCCAAAAGATCGACCCTTTTCTCATCTTTTCAATCAATTTCAGTCAGCACCAAGTCTGAATCGTTCTGAATCACTCGAAGTATCTCAAAATATCTCAAAGCAAACTCAATTTCTTTCAGAGCTGAGTCGCAGCATATCGCAACAGCATCGCCAGCGGAGGCATCATCAAAATTTATGATCATCAAGTCGTCTGAACAAATTTTGAACAAATTTTGACGACCGCCTGACAAACGTACCGTTGGTTTGGCGAAAGTCCGGGCACCACGGCCACGAAGTTGGAGCCCATGCCCCCTGGACATGGAAAGTCTCATGGAAAATCCATGTCAGATTTAGTGAACCACGCCCCCGGCGTGGAGAAAAAGGAATTAAAATGATTAAAAAGGTCATCACTTGAGTCATAAACTGCATCTGAACCCCGAAAGGTTTATTGCTGTATGGCACTTCATCGCAGCGATCAAAGTCATCTGTATCTGCCAATTTTTGACAAAGTCTATGACCCTTCGGCGGCTTCCCTAGGTCAGGTCATGCCTGCGCAAATCAAAGCTGCACCATCTGTACTGTCACCTCAAGTCAGGTTGCGATTCTTCATGCTTTGACAATGATCTTTGCAATACAAACATACTATACAAACATACCTGGTTGGTGGTATACCTACCCCATCCTACCCCTCTGAAAAATATTAGTCGGGATGATTGTTCCCAATATATGGAAAAATAATTCAAATGTTCCAAACCACCAACCAGTATACAAACATACTATAAAACTCTGACATATCTGACATGCTGTCAGCAGACTAACTCCGGCATCTTGCCAAGCTTGCGCCAGTGAAACTGCTTGGCGAAAGGAGGCACGAACGGTCCTCGCCTGTCTCAGTGGCAAGTCGAAGGTGTCAAAATGTGTCGGAAAAGGTCACAGGAAATGCATGGATTTGCATCAAACATCAGAGGAATTCACAGGAATTCACAACTTGACATCTGCATCTGCCTGAATAGCCTTCCCAGCTGGAGCGACCTCCATTCTTGCGCTCTGGAAATGTGGCAGGAATGGATGCCCCGAAAGGCTGTGACGGTGTGACTATGCCTTGATCACGAACTCATTGATGCTCTCGTCATGCACACCACTGAAGGTATCATCCAAGACCTCACACTGAAGTAAGGTATGGTACGGTTCATACTGGCAGAGGATCTCAGAGTCGTCTAGGGATGTCTAGGGCATCTCTGATATCGCTTCGTTTGAAACTTTGAAAACGCTGCAAGTTCCCAACTTTCACAACAAGGTCCCATAGGTCCCATAGGTCCCATAGGTCCCATAGGTCCCATAGGTCCCATAGGTCCCATAGGTCCCATAGGTCCCATAGGTCCCATAGGTCCCATAGGTCCCATAGGTCCCATAGGTCCCATAGGTCCCATAGGTCCCATAGGTCCCATAGGTCCCATGTTCTCCCGTCCATGTGCAGATGTGCAGTTCACCGGGCTCCAGGCTTCACGATCCCAACCAAGTACAAGCCTCGTCACGCCCACAAAAAACCATGCGATGGCATGGCCAATCTGAAAAAACGAAAAACCACGATATGTTCGGAAAATGGAACGGGAAATGGCGAAAATCATAGAAAATCCAAATGGGGACCTAATTGACCAAGCTGCGTATCATGGGTGTGCATGAGGGCAATGGGCGGGGCCAATCGCGGCGCCACGCACCACGTGCTGAGCCGTGCGCTCCTGAATCTTCCGAACAACAGTCGTGCGCTCAGCTTCTTGAAGCAACAAGAGGACTACGGCTGACTACGGTGACTACAGGACTACTTCTAGCATCCCTTTAACATCTTCAACTACCATCTCGAGGGTCATCCAATTACATCAAAGTACAAAAAAAATATCAAAGATATCAAAGTAAGCACTTGAGACGCTCTTCAGCTTTCAATGGTTCACAAAGACTCACCAAGTACATAACTGATATTGATCATAACCTGAGGTTAATCCCAGGAAAATGAACGCAGCGATGCGGCTAAGTGGCTGCTCCGACCATGGCCCCCTTCCTGCTGCTGTAACCGCTGCCACTTGCACGACGTACCTCAAGCTATCTTGCCATTCTGAAAATACAGCATCAATGTCCAAGATTGAAGATAGATGAAGATAGACATAGATGAACATAGATGAACATACTATGTGCCCAATATCTTTTCTTTTAAAGTCCATATGAAGAGTTCCAAGGTTTCACTCCGTCGCGTGGCCAAGAACGCCAAGAGGCTGTCGCTCAGGATGTAAGGCTTTGAGAGTAAAGCGGATCACGTCGCTGTCGGTCTCCTCCAGCTCCACATTCTCCTCACGAGCTGCACGAGACGTGCGCGATGCACGAAGTGCGATGTGATGAATCGGAGATGGGATGGAAAACCTGATGAGCAACGACTATACTGATGAGTTGCTCATGTATACAGTTGATTATTCATCACTCTTATTGTGGAGGTGATTGAATAATCAGTGGATCATTCAGTGGATCATTCAGTGACATGATGTAAACAGCCAAATCCAAAGCCTGCTTAAAATGTGTGAAATGTGTCAAGGTCTGATTAAGCCCAAGCTCCACGGTAATCCATGCACCATTGGTTCCGTATCCATAGCGCGAACCTTGCGTGCCGATGCCGATGATCATAGAAAAAGTGCTGTCTCCTTCAATTCAAAGTATTTCAAAGTCCTTGACTTCATGAACTCATGATACTCATGTTGTTTCATAAACTACTCAGGAACATTCAGGAACTCATAACCAAAGATAATCTCAAAGATATAAAATTGATATAATTATGTTATGAGGAGCTCTCGAGCCCGCCGAGCAGCATTCAAAATATCTCGCGCTGAAGCCCAAGACGTCGCTGCTTTCTGTTCGCGACCAGTCAGGCACCGGACCTTGGAATCGGAACCGAGTCACTGGAGTCACTGGAGTCACTGGAGTCACACGGAGCTCTGTCGAACGGTTGATGTGAATGCCGCAATGTCAACTGAGTTCCTGAAATATATCCAAAATTATCCAAAAATGTTTGAAAAATGTATTAACTAAAGACTGCTAGTTCAAATATGTCCAAATGAATCCAAATGCAGTCTGCTATGACATGAGACAAGAGTCATGAGATGTTTCACAGCAACCAATTTCTCTTGGGGACAGCCAAACAGCGTGTCATACCTCTTATTTGTTGAGGCTGATGCCAGAACATTCCAGGACCAGGTGATCGTGATACGAGTTCACCACGCGGGGAAGAATGACCTTGGGATCAACTGGAGGTATGCCAGAAATGGCCAGAACATCTGCACAGCCAAGCTGGACCAAAAAGAAACCTGTCTGCACTGTCTGCACTGTCTGCACACTGGCTTTCATTGAACTCATCTTTCAATACTCTGGGCTCACCGAGGTCCATTAAGTATGTTTGAAGTTTTAAACGTCTGCCAGTTGCTGATGGCTTCTTGGTTTGCTTGAAGTCTGTTGGACTAGAACCTCTTAGGGATTATCCAGTGGATGACATGCACCCCATGTCTTTCGGTATCCAACTATTTGAATGACCGATCAGAAGCTCCAAGCTGAAACAACGTCTTTCGGGCTAGTTAGTAGACAAAGAAAAAATGCATGAGAAAAAGTTTTTGGTTGGTTATGCATGGTTATGCACCCATGCAGTTGGCAGTTGGTGCCTGTGCCAATATTGGATGATATTGGATGACTCGATATGCCAAGACGCTCCCATAGAAGGTGCCACTGATCGAGTGGTAAAACTGCCTGGATCGCTTCTCTCCCCAAGGCCACGAGAAGTCAGTGCTGCCACCTGGCCAAATTCATCGCCCAAACTACAATCCTAGATGCATTTTCAAACATGTTCATCTAGAAACTATAGATATTAATTAGATTTAATTAGTGTATACATATCGGTGCAATTCTAGTGCATGGTCAATCATTTTGCTAGGATGTTCCAGGATGTTCTCAGCTTGAAAGACCGAAGTGTCAGAGTCGATCCTGATTTCGATCCTGATTTCCACATTTTGTGATACCTGTGATATCCTGTGATCACTTTCGCACCTGGACTGTGTAGCTGGTGTCAGGATCCAAACATCGTAGCTCCATTGAAGTGATCAATGGGTCTTGGGAAATCCAAATGCTTCCTGCAGTGGCTTGCACGTGGAGCACCAAACGCGGCAATCCGTAGCAACCATTCACGGATATTCACGGAATCCGGATATATGATATACTTACAAAAAATGAACATCACACCGCACTCGAAAAAATGGAACAGTCAAAACACTCATCATCAGGCATAATCATCAAGCTTGGTTTGAATCAAAGCCCAGAACATGAAATATTATCCGCTAGCGGAACTCACGACTTCAGACAAGGGTCCATGCTCGTCTGCCTGCCAGGTTCAACCAATCTGCACATCACATGTACAGGCGTGGCTTTGAAGTATAACAAGTGAAAAAAGTTTCTCCACGTCATTCCGTTTTCATTCTCAAATCCGCCTCTGCTGAACCACGTGCTGGTGAGCTGCAGCCTTGTGCTTGCCTCTGAGTTGCTGTGCTAACTGTCGCACAATGCCAAACCGCAGTAGGTCTTTAAAAAGCAAGGATTACTATAGATTAATGTGATATTAATTGATATTGTAGATTAATATATATATATAGATTATAATTATACAATATAATAATATAATGTTATATAATATGATTATATGATTATATGATATGATATGATTGATGACCATGCATCTTGAGCATCGGTGATTATTCTATATTCTTCTTGTCTTTAATCGCAGTGACCTTCAATTCTGCCATGGTGCAGTGGTAGTTCAAACTCTCGGACGGGAGAGCGGCCGCGGTCACGAGCGCGTCCGAGATACACTCTGTAGGCCTGCACTGGGGCACCTGAAGCAGAGCATGGACGCAGCTTCAACGAAGTTTCAATGCAGGTTGTAGATGTGATCTGTGGCCGTACATGATGCAATGCATTCACTCCAGACAAAGCACCATAGCAACCATCAAGCGAATTTGTCAAGACCCTCCGATAAACTACTCATCAACTATGAGTTTGGAAAGGTCAAACCAGCGGGACCAGCGCCTGAAATGTCTTTGGGTGTCACCCACTTTAATTTCGCGCTTTGTCTAAAACTCATCTCTATGTCCAACTGCCCTGGCGGCCACTGGAGGGGATGTTGGGGAATCATTAAAAACAGATCACGAACTCAGCGTACAGTGCTTTGGCATGCTTTCGTGGTGTAACAGGTTGAGGAAAAGACTGAAGAATATCATAGAATATCACCAAAGTGCTTCTGACTAACTCTTTGTTACTCGCCTCTGACTTCGGGAGCAAGCGCTTCTGTACAAATTTGCGCTGAATCCGACCAGTCACCCTCTCCTGTGCGAGCAAAGTGATGAAGAGCTGAGGGCGAAGGAGGTAAGGACTCACAGAGGACCCCAGATTTCTTCCAGGTGTGTAGGAAGATTAGGAAGGGGATAACCATTTCTGCGGACAAAAAAACGGACTGATCACTGATCAATGATTCATGCAGGGCGGTATCCATGCTGCTGAGAGCAAAGGCGCTGTGTCGTACTGCGTATGAAAAAAAAACAATGCATATTACAAGAAGCTGCAGGTGATTAGCGACGATAGTGACAATAGGGTATTCCATGTTATTCATCGCTGTGATGAGGAGCTCGGCTTGTGGGTTCTGTGTCATGATGTGTCTCAACTATTCGGTTCGGTGTTCGTGTCAATTCGCACGTGACTTCTCCAGCTCCTGGGCCAACAGCAACTGCTGCCACCTGCACCAAACAAACACTGCTGTGCCGAAGCTCGCGGACCTTCAGCGTGTAGAAACCTGCCCAGGGAGAAACTTTTCGGGAGGGAAGTCATTTTGTGGAAAGCACTAATCTTTGTCTGATCGCTTAGGTCCCAAAGATTATTTTCGGCAGAACAATGATAAAATAAAGCGTATTAATTATTAAACTCACTTGTCAAGGAAAAGTTCCAATAACGGTATGTGTCAGTGGTGTTAAATGGATGAGAACGTGTTCACAATTACAGCATGCATTGCCTTCATGAAGAGTGTCAAAGACTGAAGCATTCGATTGCTGAACACACCACATTTGACGCGTTTGTACCTGGCTTGTCAGAAGCCGTGGCAGAAGCACGCACGCCCAGAATTTCAGTCCATTGGGGCTGTGCACGAATGCCACTTCCTCAGTTTCTGTGGTGCACTCCACATTGCAGACATATTCAGGGTCACCTCACCATGACATCTTCAGATGCAACAAATCTTGGACGCCTGTAGTTTCCAGCTCTGGCTCGTAGCAAATGCGAATTCGAAAGCCTGTCACAGCTGACATGATCCAAACAGAGCGTTGATCGGGAATCATCGGGAATCATCGGTATAAGATTCAGTAAGAACCCTGCCTTTCAGTTGGCATTCTTCAAACTCAGTGGAATCTGGCGAACAGATTTGCATGAGCTCTTGCCGATCTGTGCCTTGACGCACAGTGAAAAGCGTTCGGGGAAAAAAGGTCTGAAGTTCTGAAGCAAACTGGTTGGGATTTGCATGTTGTTCACAACGAAGTACTGCAGTGCTGTACCATCTGCACATCATTGTAAATCATCTTGACTAAAAAATGCTGGACGTGAATCATGAAGTCTGCAATCTGTGCTCCAAACGTTCAGAAAGTTTCCAAGAGATCGTGGCACTATTGTGATCCGTGTTCTCCACCTCAGAGCCGAGAGTTTTAAAGTGTTCTGCTTTGACTTTCTGACAACTGACAGACAATATGAGACTACTGGACACCTCGGCTTCGATTCATGGATAGGCATGGATAATTAATGGATACTTCATGGTATATCATTGTATCATGGTTTATCAATCTAGTAGTGGTATATGTGGGAGTCGTTCATCTCTTGACGCTTGCGGGAAGCATCTGCCATCTGCCGTCTGGTCACAGTCACATGGTCCACCGCAGGAGGAACTGCCAGCGTCTCAGCTTTCGTGATCTGCGAGCGCTCGCCACGTCCAGCGTGTGTGATGGCCGAAGCTGTACAGGAATATGCACTTCTGCTGCTCAAACCACTGGCGATCACCACCTCAGGCAACATAGGCATACATAGGCAACATACCCACATTCTGTTAATGGTTGTAACATGTTGTAGCATGATCGGGTGAGAATTGAGAAAGTCCAAGACTGGTCCAAAACGGCTCAGTGGTTTACATTGATCCCAAACCAGTTGTGCTCAATCTCTACTGGTTCAGCTGGCCGGTGTCACCAAAGATCATGTCATAGTGACCGTTTCAGAACAGTCACAACAGACCATCACAGGTATCATCCAGGACAAACCAAGAAACGTGTGATGGAAACTCCTCATCATCCAGTTGAAGATGGGGTCGCAGCGTAGTGGCCAGCGCTGCAGCATCGCTGCAGGAGAACTGGCAAAGCTGGACGCGTTCTTATGAAAACGAAAGAAGCCAAGCAGCCAAACCAGATCAAACCAGTTGTTGCAAATAAATATCATTTTTGATAGGAATCTGTGCATTCGATATGATCAATCTTGATTGAGCTTGTTCGAGCAGGATGTCACAAGCATTGGACCAAGAATGGGCTAAGTAGTCGCCCAGTTACAGTTGTTTTTCTCTGGAACTTGACTTTGGTTTAACCAACCCGTCCCGGCAAAAATGATCAAAAAATCCTTCACGTCTGCCTCTAAGGTTTGATTTTCTGCTCGATGAGAAGATTGCAGCCTTGGATCATTTGGATCAACATCACGGCTGGAGGTTTGGGCCACTCGACTACTCTCCGGTTGGAAGTGAAGTAAAACAATGTAAAACATGATAAAACATGATAAAACATGTACAACATTGTACAACGCCAAGCAGCTGCAGTTCAAAGTGTTCGACCTCCTCATCTTGCCCTTTGCTTGGTTCCTCAAGGGTTTCAAACCTCAGATCGTCCAAAGGCAATGCAATGGTCTCAGCTTTGAAGATGATCTGCAGCTAAGAGACGCCAAGCCGAAAACCAGTGACCCATGCGAGGGGAATAAGAGTTTGGGCGGAGCTACCTCCCGTGATGAAAATCTTGGTTTTCTGACCATGCTGTGACACCTGTGCAATCAAAACATGTCAAGACCGAGGCCACAGGCCACACTAAAAACAGTCAAGGCCTTTGGTGCTTTGCGCCAAGTGAAAAGGGGCTGGCTCTTTGGAGACCACTCTCCTGGTCGCCACGTCAGTCAGAGCCAGCCATGAATCAATTCTGCTTCAATGAATCACAACATATCACAACTATATTTAGATCTTATCCAGAGATATTCACATTTCACTCCTGAACAGCGGAAGAAATTTGACTAAGTTCTGGTTCGCAAATTCCACCTAAATTTCCACAAAGCCTTGCCATGACTGGCTGTCCATTGTTGTCGCTGTCCTTGACCACAGGCCGTTTTTGCAGCGACCTGTACGTAGTACATCCGCGATGCTGCCAGGCCCGTGAGCCAAAAGTGCACCTCCGTGCGAAACTCTTGGCGTCGAAGGATGTTGATCGTGACATGATTGATATTTGGGGGCAAAAAGTTTGGCAATGTTTAGCACAATGTAGTACAGTAGGAAAACATAGGAAAACTCAGATGAAGTCCAGCCTCTTGACAATCCTCGCAATTGAAATTTCCTTGCCGCATTGAACATCATCGAACACATCTGACATTTGCTGAAGAATTTAGCGCACAGCAGGAAATAGAGACTGAAACGGCACCTGTTTGAGCGTGTCCAAGAAATATCAAGAAATGCTTCCAAGCCACTCACGAGATCCATGTCATCTTCGGGACGGTCTTCGATGGCACTGACGTGCAACATTGCAACACTGCCTGACCAGAAATGTCAGTCCAGCGGCTGCTCAGTGGCTACAAAATTAGTTAGACTTCCGTGGTGAGAACTGACTTCCGTCATCGGACTCAAGGAGCCATCAATGCCCATCAAAACACGGTGAATGGTGAGAGTTTACCCTTTCAGGTGGCGGTGAGCATTGGATGTTGACCGGCACTATCCTGTCTCCAAATGACCCAAGAGGGGATACCTGGATACCTTTGGGCCAGCTCTGTCTCAAACGTCTCCCATCGCCTTCAAGAAACTTGGCAGTTTGCTGCGTTGGTGGCATCCAGCGAGATGCTATTTTCACCTATGCGAAAGATCGATCAAGACACAAACTCATTGCATTGATGCCACTAGTTTCACTCCAATCACAAAATCATCATTTTCACTCCAAAGAGTTCGTCATCTTCCACTCTTCCACTGCGTTGCTAACACCAATGCCTGGCCTCAATCTCATGCCTCACCGGCCAACGAGGCTCTGTGTCAAAGAAGCGCACGATGTAGCTCGTGACCTGGTGTTACAAACGTTACAAATGTTACAAACTCACAACTGAGCAAGACTCAGCACATCTCAGCACTGTACCAAGGCATTTCTTTAAGGACACACCGTGTGACACACCGTGTGACACACCGTGTGACACACCGTGTGACACACCGTGTGACACACCTTTGCAGCAGTCCATACAGACCAAATGTATCCAAATGTTGGCCACCTCCTCCAGTTGGGTGCTGGGACTGGCCCATTTCAACAGCAGCCGGTCATACCTGTCTTGAAAACTGCGGGATTCGGGAAGAAAGTATGTCTATTTTGAAAGTAAAAGCTTGCTAAGCAGATTTCCATCACAATATACATGATCCAGATCCACTTTCACCTGATCCGGCAGCCATCAATCAACATAATCAACAGCTACTCGTGCCGTGTTTTGCCCTTGCCATGTCTTGCCTTGCACACTGCAAGCGCGGCGCAGCTTGCAAGGGCGGAGCCACCGCCAAGGTCTGGCACCTACCAGCAGCAAAGTGATTAAAGGATGATCCCTCTGGAACGAAAGCAGCAAAAATGAATCGATGGCATGTGAAAATGCCTTCTCGGTGTGCTCTTCTTGAAGCCAACCACGTCCAAGCGAACCTCAGTTCTACAGAATTGCAGCTGTTCACATCAAGCAGCTGCATCATTCTGCAGCTGTTCAAATGAGATCATCCATTCTGAGTGTTCACTGCGTTATCTCAGTTATCTCATCTTCCACCACTGACCTTTCTCATCTTTCTCAATTTCACTTGACATAGATACCTCGTCATACTCTTCCCTCCATACATTCAACAAGTTGCATCGTAGGCAGAGAGAGGATCCAAGCCCCGCATGGTCACGGTGAGAGAATGCGGCGGAAGCTCCTCTGCCTGCAGCGGAACGTTGCGGAACGATGATCTGGAAAATCAACAGGTGAGTCTCCACTTATCACTTACGATAATTATGACATGAATTATGCTAAATATACAGTATCATACAGTATCTTATCGAGATATATCGTGATGTCGTTCATACATCGCGTCATCGCTAGGTTATGCACTGCAACTGAATGTTCCAAGTCAAGTGGAGAGATGTGATATGACGTGATATACATCAATTTACATCGAGTTGAACTTCAAACCTTGTAGTCAGGCAAAAACTGCGCGCAATTAAAATCGTGACGCACTGCTGCACTATTTGTTAGTTGACATACGCGAACCATTTTGATACCATTTTGATCCATTTTGCATTTTCTGCAGAAGAGCGTCTTCTTCAGAGAGTGAAGAGGAGGAACTCGAATGCCAGGGCTGAATGCAAATGTCGTCGGCTGCAACAGTGAGTTGCCTCGAATTGACCGCATCAACATCAGCTGAATTGCTGTCATGGGGAATGGTACACTACAACCATCTATCTGCACTTTTTGCATTGTGACAAAAAATCCAGAATTCTGAAAACAGGACCAATGTAATGGACCGTCATGGTTAGCGGTTAGTGATATCGAGATCGAGTTATCGGGTTCCCCATAGTTCCCCCAAAATGGCACTCCTACGTCGCAGCACACGCCTCCATGCACCAGACATGATCCATCCTGACGGCCGCCATTCTGCTTTGACATCTTCCGGTTTTGTCCCAGCAGGCACCTCAAAATGGGTCAAATGTCAAACACTGACCTCATGCCATGCAGCTGTTTCCAAGCGTCAGCTCTCAGTAGCACACCCGCCATCGCAAGGTCAAACATGAGCTGCCAGCGCGAGTCAAAGTGGGCACATCACCTACAGTTCCGAGATGTTCTGAGGACCTGAACATGTTTGATAGCTGCTGTTTGAGCTGGGGTAGGCCGATCGCCGTAATAGATCAATGATAGATCTATATTATTCTATATTAATATTGTGAAAATCGGACATTGCACACATCACTGTCGGGTGGCACAGCCGCCGAGAGACTTTGAGGTGGTGGAGGAGGTTGCTGGTGATGGTGTCCGTCGTCCAGCATCACCCCATCCCAGTGGGTAGCACGCTTTGTATTGTGCAAAACCAAGGCGTGCTGTTCGTTGTGTATTGCTGAAAGATCTCCAAAGAAATCGTGGATGAAGTTGAAGCGTGATTATTGGAAGACACGGGCGAGCAGCCTAGCATGTGTTGTGTTGGCTGGAAGGCTGGAAGCACTGAATCGATTCTATTCTACTGGTACTCATTCATTCAAGTTGTTTGAAGAAACAAATCTCAATAAGCTGATCTTCAAGGAGGAATGTGTGAATGTGGGTCTTATATGCAGCGCTGAGGTAATTGGCTCATCCACGGCTTTAAGCCACAATGCTGTCACCATGCTGTTGCGCCAGATCTCTCCACTTCGTCCACTTCTTCGCAGGGTCAGAATCTGTTGGGAAGCATGCAACATCATCCGTGAGTGACCAATTGACCGATTGTGTTTATGTCGCCCTTTTTTGATTGCAGAAAACTGTACAGAAATAGTCCTTGAATGTCGTCAAGCGCTGGAACCTTTGCTAAAACTATCTCGTATCCTTGAAATCCAGCGCGGGAAGTTGGCAATCCAATCGATTTCACGAAGGTCCATGAAATACAGGATACATCAGGATATCGACAATGACAGACATGGTATGTATCTGAGTGTATCCGTATATTTTGCGCTCGTCACTTCGTCAGGATTTCATAGTATTGCTTGGAAACATGTGGAAACGCGTGGAAACCTGAACGAAGTTGAGTCTGTTGAGTATCCTGGATCTCTTGCGACCGAAAAATGTTGCCGAAAAAGTCCGCTAAGTTACTAAGGGGCGGTGCCCATTTTCAAAATCTATGTGGGAAATGGCAATGCCATCTGAAAGTTTCGCTCACGAGATGTCCTCAAATTCCCCCGCCTCCAAATCCTGAGGACTCCAGAAATCATGTGACTTTCCATCAGGTTCTGATAATTCTGATATTCTTTTCATTTCTTTTCTTGCAGTTGTTCAGAGACACGAATTGTCAGAGACCAAACTGACCAAACAAAGCCTTGTTCACGGACCTGAGCCCTCAGCCTCTGTTGCATCCAGAAGATAAGTCTGAAACCTCGGTGTATCACGTCACCATTTCGCGGTGACGGTCCAAACCTCTCCAAAGACTTCAAACAATGGAGATGATTGAAGAGATTTATATAATATGTATATATCATGTAATATTATGTATATATTATTTGTATATATTATGTATCTATTATGTATTATCATATAAATGAAACAAGAAACATCAGAAACAAGCTATCTTGGCTGGGTTGAGGACCATCCTCACGAATCGCTGCTGTCTGGGTGCCATACTGCGCGAGATACGCAGCAATTTCCTTGTGCAGCGCCATAAAAGTTTCGTAGTCCTACCAGACTTTGGCATTCGAAGAATTCGAACACTGCCAGGGCTAGCACTCACTGAGCGTGCCTTGGCCTTCACCGGTTTGTCCGAAGATTTCACCTTTTTCCGAAAGTTCTCAATCAGATCTTGCGCCTCCGGAAAAAAAAAAAAAAACACGGATGCTTAGATGTTCCATGGTGAAGAAGTAAAGAATGGAAACCAGGTTTCACCTCCTGAAAGTCAACTTGGTGTTGGGACACTCCGACTTTTCAAAAACACTTGTCACTGGTCACGATATACGATATTTGCCGAATCAAAGATGAGTCAAAGTTCAGCAACGCCAAGGCAGCTGGTCGCCAGGCCTCCTGTTTCTTTGCTCCTTTGAGTCCTTCGAAGATCCAAGGCTGGTGAGTCCAAGCTCTGGTCAACCCCTCAACGTGATGTCTAGTTTCTTGTTTCGACAGGTTGCAATATGTTTGCAAATCACCTGTGGACCAATTCACGCCGTTGCAGTGTCCTCGAGTAAGATACTTCATATCTTCATTGAGCCCGTAGATTCGCCTCAGGGCATGCCATAATCCGACCAGAAACTTCAGAATGATTTGGAATGGATATTGATGGATATTGATGGATATTTGGAAATATTTGGAATGGATATTGAATGTTTGTCTTATTGGGACCGCCGGCCTGAGAAAACCAATGGCGTCATCCCACTCCTGCGTCATGAAAGCAACGAAATCTCATGGAATTTTCTCCTGGCGAGAAACCTTCGTTCGAAGTTTGCGTCTGCTAAACCCTCGGATCTTGCATGAGCGTTTCAGCGTCCTTGTCTTTGTCTTCAGATGTCAGTTTCTCAGGCAATTTGTTCCAAGCCTCGTAATAACGTCAAAATCGTCAAAAAATGACAAAAAAATAACTGAACAACATCCTTGACCACACAGTGGGGCTGAGAGTTGTTGCAAAATGTTGCAAGCCTCAAGACCTTTCCGGATTCGATCTTCTTGTTTGGCACCCGGAGGAAGCATGTCACCTGTCGTCGTCAAATGTCATGGATTCAGTGCACAAATTCTGACCACGCCTTCTCCAACATCAGCGCGCGCTTGGGGTGCTGCAAAGAGCAAAGCTAAAGCAGCTGCCACGACATCACGACCTCAAGCGACTGGACAGACTCGACAGTTTCAACAGACTCAACAAATATGACAGAGCCCGATGCAAACGAACCCGTTTCTATTAATTGTTGACGATCCTTGTTGATTCATGTGGATGTTTGTTCATCTTCCAGTTTCACGTTTTCGCCTTTGTTGGATACTTAAAAGTGGATACAATTCGTCTGAGCACACGGCGGGCAGGTATTTTTGCCTCAAAAAAAAACAAAACCATACGCTACAAGCACCATATTTAAGTCACGTCAGGCGGGGAAAAGTCACAACATGTCACAACATCCCCATGTCACAGCTGCGATACAGAAAAGTCACATCAGGTAGTGGAAAGTCACACATCAGGGAAGAAGAAACACCATGGCACAGCCTGTTTCATCTGCAATATGAGATTTAGCTAAAAGTAACCGAAGCATTGCGCACAGCGATGATTTTGAAAGGCACAAATCAATACAAACAAAGTTGTCGCAGCAAATCCTATTGGCATGGATATACAATGTTGGTGTCCTGCGTCGCGTGACCAAATCAAACCCCTATTGGCGCAGCCTCAAATTTCTTGCAATGCAAACGGGTGAGGTTGTACCAAATCCTATTGCCAGGGTTATGATATAAGGATATAGGGGCACCTTGTTTCCTGCAACCAAATCTATGGTTGGCGCAATGTGTATCAAGCTCGTGGACTCTCAAGAAAATGGTTATCCTGTCCACCCAGCGATTACGAATTGGAGTAAAACCTTTCATTCCAACCAGCCAGAAAAATACACGTTCACAGCTTTGCACTTGGGCCAAAGGCAGCTCAGTCCACTCTACTTCTGGAAGAGTTGTATCGATCTACCTACCTATCTACCTATCTACCTATCTTCCTATCTACCTATCTATCTACCTATCTACCTGTCTATCATTATCATTCATTATCTATCTGTCTGTCTATCTATCCATCCATCCATCCATCTATCTATCTTTCTTTCTTTCAGTACATTTGTTTGTTGGCGCGTTTGTTCGTTCATCTGTCTGCTTGTCTGTTTTTTTGATTGGTTGGTTGGCTGGTTGGTTGGTTGATCGGTTGGTTGGTCGTTTGGTTTGTCGGTTAGTTGGTCGGTGGGTCGGTTGGTTGGTCTGTTGGTCTGTTGGCTGGTTGCTTGGTCGGTCGGCTGGCTGCGTCGTATGTTCGTATGTTCGTTCATTCGTTCGTTCGTTCGTTGGTTTGTGGTCTGCCAAAGGAAGTTTAGTCAGAAAACTTCTAAGTCGCGGACGAATGTCATGGCTGGAATTTCCACCATCATGTCAGCCACATCATCATGTCAACTGCATCATCAGGTCAACCACCCATCATCAAGTAGTTGGGAAGCGTAAAAGCTCGAAATTTGGAAGCGTGTGAATTCAAGGTGAAAACACTCCCGGGCACGAAACCATGTGCTTTTTGAGGTAACGTGGCTCCTGGGGTCGCCGAAGTAAAGTTTCTGAAGCGCACAGGACTGTAGCGAGAGCTCGATTTGCACTTCAAAATCGTTTAAAAAAAAACCTAAAAAGTCAACCATACTCAACCCCCGCACCCACAGAACATCCTATTTGAATCTATTTGAATCTATTTGATACCAAGGGCAAAAATCCGCGTAAATACCGTCGTTTTTGGCTTCCGAGGCTCCAGAAACATCAGTATTTACGGTGATTCTCTTCCGAAGGCCTGCAACAATTGAAAAAACAACACCACTTTGACAGTCTATGATGTTTTTCGGGACAGCTTTTTGTGCGCAAAAACGCTTTTTTACAATGGTTAAAAGGCAGTGGTATGTTTGAGATACTGCAACAACATGCAACAACATGCTTTAAAAACCAGGCACCCAACAACAGCAATGAGACGACAACAAGAGCAGCAACAGTGCAGCAACAACAACAGCAAGAACAGCTCTTGTGGGGAAGCTTTACAATATATCTTGGGTTTGTGTGCGGTTGTTGGGGACGCACACTAAAAGAAAAAGAGCCCCTTGAAACAAGATAGTTCCAGATGCACCTGTTTCTTTGGAAAGGTGGGCGGCAAATCCGCTCAAAAATTCTGCCTACACTGCATGTCAAAACCGTCAAAAGCCAGGATACGCTTAGCTCCTCCAGCTGAGCTGATATGGTTACCTGCACGATTGACTTCCAAATGACTTCCGTACATTTCTGCGCTGCATTCATGCTATGCAACATATCACATGTCAGATCAAATAGGCTACTAGTAGCGAGCCAGCCTTTTGTTGTGCCAGTTCATCTCGTTTTTGCAAGATCTTCTCCTGGATTGCAGCATCAAACTTGCAGCCACAGGAAGGCAAAACAAGCAGCTCCAAAAACCGCCCCCTCGTCCTTCGCTGTCGGATTGGCACGCTCCTACCAATGCTGGAATAAGATGGTACTCTGTGACATCTTTTGGTGGCGATTCGGTCTTCTAAGTTTTCTTCAGCATCAGAGTCTCTCCCAAATGCATCGAAGGTAAGAAACACAAAGCGAATAACATGCAGCAGGGGCACCATGAACTGTGGTGTGATCTTCTTCTCTGTGCTTTCAAGCAAAGCGGACACCTCCACAAAAGCAGCGTGCCAACTCTCATCATCAACACATATCAACACTACGAAAACCCGCCTGGTTCAGTTGCTTCTCAAGGCGTTGGAGCTCCTTGCCCACGTCAATCTCCTTCTCGGGCACTGGCATGTCAACCTGGTCAAAGATGAATTTGTCACCAAGAATCCAGCATGTATGTAAGTGATTGTAACTGTATGTATGCGTTTGTTTCAAGACCTGGGAGTACCTAAGCATTGAATAAAACATCTCATAAAACCATAAGAAATTATCACCTATTCCAGTTCGCAACATGTGGCTGCTAATGAAGAAAAGTCTCAACCTGCAGTAAGTGCAAAAAGGTTGTTCTTCAGTGTCTGATCGGAGTTCATCGTCAGCGCACCTCAATCTCGTCCGAGATCACCACGCGAATGCATCCGGAAGGCCTTGGAAAAGTATTGAGTCATTGAGAAATGTGAAAGTGTTTCGAGTTGTTTCCACAGTCTTTCCCATTGCAAAGCTCATTGGCTCACAGGACTGTAATTTGTAATACATTGCCTACGTTCTGGACCCTGGTTTGTTGAATGCCAAACGATGCTGAAACTGGCTGAGTCCAAGGACCAAAACTGACAAGCAGATCGTTTTGAAGTTTCACGAAATTTCACGAAGCTATGTATGATCTGTTGTGTATATATATATATTATATAATACATAATATATATATATATATTATATGTGGAATAGAATCTCGGAATCTAGTGCTTGGGGATCGCCAGATGGATGGGATATGATGGCAAATTGTCTTTCCGTCCAAAGCTGAGTATCCAAACGTCTCGTTGGGGCGCTCGGACATGGCCTTCGCCTGTTGTGTAAATAATGCCCAACAGCTAAAGCTGCAGCAAGTACCAGCTGGATTCAAAATTTGTGTTGCCAAGGACTGTAGCATGAAGTGGCACTGCTGAAGATTTCGTTTGTCTTGCAGATTGAAGTCATCGGAAGGGATATCCTTTGATCTTCACAAAATGTATCAAATGCCAAGCTTTTTCCAAGCTGAAACCTCGATCTTCTCAGGATCTGCGCGAGCGAGCCAAGCCAATGCAGAGCCTCACAGTGCAGCTTCACCCCACCGATGCGCAGCGCCATGCAGCGCCGCTGTCGAACCGAGATCTCGACTTTCGGCTCTCAAAGCATCCTGGACCCACAACAACCCGCAACGAGCAATACAACATATAACAGTATATTATATTGATAACATATTATGTATAAATATAATATTATATATTATACTTATATAATATATATATATCTTATTTATTTATATATAATCTATTTATTGATATTACAGCCATTGATGATCTGCAAGCTGCACCCGCCGAAAGTACCATGCAAACACCATGCTGTGCAGCTGTGCAGCTGTGCAGCTCAGGTCCTGGAAGTTGCTTTCTGCACACCAAAACGTCAGAGGCACACGCTCCTGGCGCCCGATCTCCAAGCGACAGCTTCAGCTGAAGATAGTCTAAATATGTCTCAATCATGACAGATCTGATAGGTCAATGATAATGATTTTCAGTTTGTCTCAACTCAATTAGATTCAATATAGTATATACCAGTAGCATAGAATATATTAGTATATTGATGTATATTGTCATTCATGGTGATAACATGTGATAACAAGGGCAGTTATGGCGTCATGCCCACCTTCGGAGGAATGCCTTGTTCTGCACGTGCATTGCGCACAGCAGATGTCACTGCGCAGAACTTTTCAAACCAACCTGCAATGCTGCAATGAAAATGTCAAGAATTGTCAAGAAGTTCATGCCGAGACTCTTTGTGAATGAAATTGGGTGGCACAAGGCTCGGCACAAGGCATCCGAGTCTGCCTTCTGCTTCTGCATCGTGGGCAGCCGACATCTTGGGCCTTGAGTCACAACTGCGACTCAGAACCCTTGCTCCTCCCGCGTTCACCCCGACACGTTCTGGGGTGGGACATATTCATCCATTTAATCCATTTTCAATGATGTGAATTGGTCACCCATGGATTGCCATCTAAGCCACCGACCATGGACTGATCATCAATGAGTCAGGCGACCTGAAAAGCTCAATGATCTCAATGCGTGATGATGGCAGAAGTTTCAGATCTCGTTGTGAAAATTGTCAAAGGAGCCCACGAGGCACTGCGAGGCAAGCGCTGCCAGACGGCCTCAAGAGGCGTCAAACATCTTCAAACATTCTTTGACCTATATTTTTTTCATGTGTTTTCATATGTTTTCATTGTTCAAGCGAACGTCCATTGGCAGAAAAGTATAGAAAAGTCACTGCGCCATACTGCGCCCACCTCTGTGACGAAAGGCATGAAAGGATGGAGCAGTTTCAATGACACCTGGAGATGCAACGCATAAAGGTTTCACGCGCGTCACTGCCCCAGTGATCTTAAAAAACCTTTAAATCTCTTTGAACCTAAAATCTTTCATGCATGCATTATACGAGTACAAAGTGCCTCCAACAGGTACAGCAAGACCTTTTGCGAAGTCGCTGCCTGTCAAGGCCACTTCGCCAGACTTCCATTGTTGCCATGGAAAAGTGGGACGCTGCCTCTGCACTGTTGGGATTTCCACCTCAGCAATTCTGAAGATTCTGAAGTGCAAAGCAGATGGTGGACGTGCATAAAACATCATAAAACCTCGGTCCGAAGCCCAAATGCTCCTGCAGCCGTGTTTTGGAAGCTTCAACCTGGCCAACGGTCCGCGTAGAAATGCCACAAAATGTCACTGAACATGGCAGGATGGCATACCAAGCTGCAACATCTTCCTGCAAAAACTCTTTGATGTCCTCGCAGATCGATTCATGAGTTGACTATATTCTGAATGTATTGTAAATGTCACATCGGGAGTCCATCGATGAAAAATCGAAAACTGGGTAAGTGTCCTTTGTTGGTGGCGCAAAGCGATTTTCCAGCAGCGCTGCTGTGACGCTTTCACAGAGCCCCTGGCACCTGCATTTCGTCCAGGTGTTTTTGATGCTTCAAAATCAAGCACAGCTTTCCACTACGACTCAGCCAGCTCAGCTCGGAGCTTTGAGAGCAAGGCACGTTCGAGCCAAGGCCTCAGACACATCACAGTCATCACTTATCGTAGCACGATGACGTATGACATTACATGGATATGACATAGATATGATTAGATATGTATAAAATATAAAACATGCAAGATGTGACATGAAAGTTGCAGCTCCCACATGATCCATTTTTTGCACCGCATGTCTGTTGCTTGTGAAGTTCGTGACCTTCAGGGCTGCTTATTTCTTCCAAAGGTCTTGATGTTTTTGCCTTATTTCTGAATCCGTCGAACCTATGTCAGTCTGTGGAAATCTGTGGAAGCTCAGCACGAGGCATGGCTTTGATCTCCTCCTCCGAGAATGTCATGCCACTCTCGAAGGACTCAGCGCACAAGATATGCCACACGGATCTGATTCAGATTTAGCCGATTTAGCTGTGAAAATTCTCAAAACAAGTTAAAAACATATTTATCATGCAGATGATATATCATGTGGCTGTGCTGAGCACTCGACAATCTGAACGGTGCCAGCTGTCTTCTCATACTCTGTGATGATGAATCGTCCGACGTTCCAGATTTTGTTCGCAAAAGCCTCTCAGCATAGACTGTTAGAGAATGTGACTTGACGATATCAACACTGGCATGTTGATCATGTTGCATGAGAGGTTTGATGAGGTTTGATATCAACACTGTGTTTGCAGCCTTTGCATTCTCAAGCATGCCCTTGCTGATTGGCACATCCATTCCAGGCACCTTGGAGCGCCGCTTTCGAATGTGCTCACCTCTCCCACTTTGTACCGTCTCAGTATTTTCCCCACCCTGAGACCCTGATCAATCTGAACACATGTTGGACATATGTTGACATGAACATACATGAACATACATGAAGCCAATTTCTCCGAGACCCCGCGCACTGCTGGTCAGAAGTGCATATCTCAATGCGTCCGTGCCATAATCTGCGATGGAGTCCAACGGGTCCACGACATTACCTCGCTGCAAGGTGCAGATTGACCATGATTGGCCTCACAAAGCTATATCAGGCATGTGTCAGGCTATATCCATCACACATCCATCATACTCTTGGAATCAACACGACAGACCGCAGCAAGAAAGATCAATTTGCCTAAAAACTGTTGAAACATGTTGAAACTAAGATCTCTGCCCTTGGTTTTGCTCATCTTTTGGCCCTTCTCATCTCTCACCAAACCATGCAAGTAGATCTCCTTGAAGGGAGCCTGCACAGGATCAATTCAGAAACTGTTTTTGAATTGAGATAATTATAGATAATTGAGAATCTGCTTGTATCTGAAGTCCTTCTGTAACATCTTGTGCTGCGCATACTGTATCATACTGTGCCTTGTCAGTCAGGGTCAGCCCCATCATGACCATTCGAGCAACCCAGAAGAAGAGGATGTCCTGGCGTCTCCAAGATCTCCAAGACTGTCAGTGCGCACATCAAGCATCGTCTTGGGCAAAACAGGACTGGACGGCATATCCAGTCTCCATCATAATGGCCTTGGCTATGTGAAAAGCTGAACGAATCTGGACAAATCTGGATAGGAATACATGACTGGACATCAATCTCCACAGTCTCCACAGTCTCCACAACATTCCACACAAAGAGATGAGTTCGGGTCCGTGATCGGCCCCTGGGCCCCTGGGCCCCTGACCGGGTAGTACTTCTTGTAGTCCTTGGCCTCTTCGTTTGGCCATCCCACCGTGGCAAAGGGCCAAAGACCCGACCTGAGTCGACTCAGTCGACTGAGTCGACTGCCGTCAGCTCTCAGCAGCTCTCAGCAGCTCTCAGCTCAGCTCGGCACGAGAACCAGGTGTCCAAAACGTCGTCGTCTTGTTTGAGCTCTACATCCTACAAGATGTCACAAGATGTCACAAGATGTCAGCACTGGAGCGACTAGCGACTGACTCTGCAAAGCTATGAAAGATATTGAAATGTGGCTGTTGCTGTTCCTGATTTTGTTGAAAGATGTCGAAGGTTTTCCTCAAACTTTGCCAAAATATGCCAAAGGCCAGCCTCGCCCAGCTCCTTGCGAGCGGCTTCAAGAGCCTGCAATTACTACGGCGCTTCTTCTCTGCTCAGTCAAGTTGCTGTCAAAACTTACATTTCCCAAGTGAAGTTTCATGAACAAGGGTACCAGTACTTTGACAAGTCACTTGTCGTCAAGCGCGTTCCACGCTTCCATTTTCACCATTTTCGCCTACTCTACGATTCTGCAGCCAGATCAGCCAGATCAGCCAGGCGAAAGCGACTTGCTCTCACCTCTGGCAGCCTCATTGGACTGCCCTCGTGTCCTCACGAATAACTTTTTCTGGAACAGGTTCGCACGGATCGCAGTTCCTTGAAACGTGTGAGGCAGGGCACGACTAGTGCAACAAAACCACCCTGGCAAACATCAAACCACATCCAGTCTTCACATCCAGTCTCCACATGTTAAAAAAATCGAAAAGCAATGGAGCAATTTGTTTGGTCACACAAAGGTTACTTCTAATTCCGATAAAACCGGACTGTCAAACATTGGCTCAAACTTGAAGCGCTTCGTCGGCATAGATGCTCATGTATGTCTTGAAATTTTGAAACCCGAGCAACGATCTTCGATAATCTTCGTCAAGTCTTTTTGCCCTCGCCGATCTTGCAGTCTTTGCAGTCCGATGGCATGGGCAGCTGCACACTGTTGGAGTTCGTTGCCGGGCCTCCGTTCTCAAAATTTGACAAAACATTTGACATGTTTACTGTACAAGTTTCGAAAAAGCACTACGAAGTCCAAATGTGTTTTTCTGGAAATCACACAGTCACAAATTGAATTCAATGAATCCAGTCGACGTGTTCAAACCTGTTGTGCTTTACTGCCAAGGCTCGTTTGCCTTGCTGGGATGAGTTCACTCGCGATTCTAAATCCTGAGGTTTCCAAATGGTCGCAAGATGTCGCTTTGGTCGCAAGGTTGTCTGACCAAAATCATGCTTGGTACATCTTGGTACAGTTTTTGTCAAGTTTGAAAACAAGACTACTCTTCTTACAGGTACTTTTGTCGCAGCGGGTGTCACCATCTTCTGTTTGACAGATCTGAATGAAGATATTAAAGGTTCACTCGAAACATCTCGAAACATGAAAGGTGCTGCTGCTGCTGACCAGGATCGGAGACACTCATCACACCCGAATGTGTGCTTCCGTCTGCAAAGGTCCAGAAAGGGATGGCATCAACTCCAGCCTCCGCACACCTGGATCTTCACCGAAGGGCGCGACACCGCGACAAGTAAAATCACAACAAGGCAATCAAAGCATCACAGAAGAAACACAGAAGAAAGAAAAAGGAAATGAAACCACACAAGGTCAAAAAAAAGCAGGAGAACCAAACGGAGGCACCAAACACTCACCAAACTATAAAATTTGGTTGTGCAAAGAAATTTAAGCGAAACTCATCGAAACTCCTTAAAGTTTACTAGAACATCTACAACATGTTTGAAAACGGTGAAGCCGAATCCATGTGGAGAACTGAACCATGTTACTTCATGTTACTTCATCGAATTCATCACACAGCTGAAAAACAATTTGGAGATATTTGGAGAAGTAATTGAAAAAACAAAAATTGGAGAAGTAATTGGATAATGCGAGTTTGATCCATTCCAATTGGAGCTGGACGCTCAGCTGTCAGTCAGCTCTTTGGTCAAGGTACCTCTGAGGCTGTCCCTGGGAGTTACCTGACAAAGAGTAGCTGCGCGAGCATCTGAAGTTTTGGAAGGCATGATGAATGAAATCATAGTAGATCATAAGTATAGTATATGAGTCATATATAGTCATACAGGATGAGTCACATGAAATGTGTTGACGATTGACTATTGATGTCGACGCAGTGTTCCACTGGATTCCTAAGTCCCCAGCGAGCATCGCACTCAACATAGGGAACCTCGGGTCAAGGAACGATGCCAATGATCATGAAAAGAATCAAAGCCTTTATCTTCTATCTTTCCCAAATGGTTTGACACAGATTATTCCACTTGAAGCCAAAGGGAATGGGAGCGAGATCTAGTTGGCCAAGGAGAGATGTGTATTGAAAGAATATGCGGCGCGACCTTTTTAGTTTCAATTTTTGAATTAAGAATTGGGAAAATGGTCGCACCAAATCCGTTCTTCACAGCACAAACAACGCAGTCTTTGAATCTGGTAACTTCCGAGGAAAAAAAGGGAATCTTAAGATGTGAATTGTCAATTCCTCGCCAAGACTGGGTCATGTTTTCATGCAGACTTCATGTAGACGCCTTGAGGAAAAGAAGTGCAAGAATCCAAGTGGCTGTTCTCTCATTGCACTACATTACGTTGCATTACACTGGATTACTGTAAATTGGGTTGCATAAGATTAGATATCAATAGATATCATGAAACAAAAAAGCAGAGAAGCAAAAAAGCAGAAAAGCAGACCAAGAAAAGAATTACAAAATGACCCTAAGGTTTTCCTTACAAAATGGCATGACCTGCAACCTGCACCAAAGCTAAAACCTATGCGACTGGTCCCTAAATTTAAGGTGCAGCCCCAAAATAGCCGTCCCCAACCCATTTTTTTGTTTTGAAATGGTACCCTTTTTGCGCTTCATATGGTGAGAAAGCATGACATGGGACAAGTTGACATGCAAAAATTACAAGAACAAAACTGTATCATTTCAGCATTTTGACCAATCACTTCAAACAGGGCAAGGCAGGGACATGCTGAAGACCAAGCCGTGACGTAGATCAACAGCTAAGCCAAGCTGCGGATCAACGAAAGAATTGAGGACAGCAGGAAAAGTTTGGAGAGGAATGGGTTCTTTAGCACCGCTCAATGTGACTAATTAGGAGATCAAACGGTGCACACAGCTGCAGTTCAAACGAGCAGGCCAGCGACATTTCCTTCTTTACAGGAACGCAGAAAAGGAGATAGGGCACCGAAGCCAATCAGATCCAATCAGAGTTCATAACCATCATAACTTGTTCATATTCTGACACACACGTGTCATGGCCATGCTGCCGAGCGTCGCTCTGCCAGGCTGGAAGGCCGAAGAGTTGTCGTTGAGCATCGCAGGCAGGGCACCAGAAAGTGCCATAAAAGGTGGCACCGCCTGACCACAGATGACATCAAATGACATCAGATTACTCACATCCTGATGACTTCCTGCTTGGAACAAAGTCTGCTTTGTTTCACAGGTCCGTTTCTGCATATAATTACTCTGCATCTCTGTTTGGTTTGAAAAACTATACATACAAATATATTATAATAACTTACAATGATACTTCATGATATCACGATACTTCTGTATTTGTGCTGCAATTCGTCATCTCTATTCTAAAGAAATGAATCGAAATGATAGAATGACGATGAATGAGGAATAACATGGAATAACTCAGTGTGCCTTGTCGAAGTCGCTGGGCCAAGCTCACCGCGGCGGCATCAGATTGAACGAGCACTGGAGGCGCCTCCGTGTTCGGCCTGCAGGTGCAGGTTTCAGCGAAAAAATTGAAACATGTCGAAAGTCGAAACATGTTGAACTAGGTGGAGCTGGACATTGGACAATTTGGACATTGAATGTCCTGAATATCGTATCACTCACATAAAGATACAAATAAGATACATAAAGTACCTAGAATGGATAGAACATGAACTGAGCATGAACTGAACATGAAGTGAACGTCACTCGTTGTGTGGGAAAGGCCCCCGCCTGCCCTTGGCCTCTGCGGCCTCTGCGGCCTCTGCTCTGACCTGCTCTTGCTCCAAACGTTTCAGCATCTCCAGCGGAATGGCTTGTGCAGGAGATGGTCTCAGGAAGATCCTTGGTGTCACTGGGCATCGGGCCATGCTCCGGGCACTGGGCATCCCGTTTTGGCAAAAATCACACTGATAACGACAAGGAGCGCCAATACCAAAGCTCCTACAGCTACTGATAACCTCAAGACCAAAGCCACGGGACAGTGATTCAAGCGCTATGCACATAAGCAATCTGTCTTCCCAGCCATTCTCGCCTGCAAGCCCAAAACTGAATCTACTCGTTTATCTCGTTTCTTGTTGGGCAAACTGACTTCCAGCTCCTGTTGTGGGTAAGAGAAAACGCCGATTTCTCTTAACTCTGAACATAGTTGGTAAATTGCCCCTGCCCCAAAAGCGCTGTGCCTTCAAGTCTTGGCTTCCCCACCCGGCAGCCATGGATCCAAATTCTGGTTTGGATTCCATTTCATCCACATCTGCGAAACCTGCAGGTGGGAAATGCTCGTCTGCGGAGCCCAAGAAAAAAACGCTTCAGTGAAAGGAGTTGTGTACTTCGTTGTAATTCTAATTCTGTATATGTACGTATAGTAAAATTAGTAAAGGCTAAGGGAATAGCGCCAGCAATTGAATGTGTCGATTGAATGTTTTGAACGACAACTAGTTTGGAGTCACCAAGCCAGAAGGGCACTGTGTCACACAACCTGCACAGCATCTGCTGAGACCAGCCTTGATGCTGAACATGATGCGGCCTGGAAAGAGCCGCTGGAAGAGTGTGGGAAAGGGATGTAAAGGGATGTTAGAGAATTGGAAAGAATTTATGAAAAAAACGCTCTGATTTTCTGTCGCATCTAGCTGTGCCTGGCTTGGAATGGAATCATGAAGAGCCTCTCCATGCCTCGCGGTCGGTGCCGCAACTCACAGGTTGCTTTTCGGACCACGTTCCAGGAAAGTCGATGGAAAATCTTACACAGTTCGGAATGCACCAGAGATATAGCAGAAAGAAATACAATTACTGTACGAAATACAATGATTCCAAGTTCAAAAGATTTCAGAAGTTTGCTAAGACTATAAGACTCTTGCAGGAATATAATCAATATCAAGTGGGGGCCTACTGGCCTACTCATACATTACAACATTGATCAAAACTTCCAACACCATGCTCATTAGTTTCGGGTGTTGCCTGCATACAGCAAAGGCAGGCTGCCCAGCAGCAGCCGTCGCACTCGCGTCATTTTGAGGCTGGATAATCTGATTGTCTGATTGTCTGATTGTTGGAGGATATCTCAAACCACCCCAACTTTTATATATTTTATGGCCTCGCAAAGAGCGAGCAATCAAATCACAGAGATTTGCAAATTGCACGTATCCGGAATTTTATGCCGACAGCTTGCCGCCGACATGCTCCTCTGAAGCGACTCTTGTCAATTGAGCAACACTTCTGCGAAAAGCTTGTCACAGCAGGAACAAGATTATCAATCAACGCAATTTTTTGGACATCCACCGCAAGCACATTTGAATACACTGGATATATCTGGATATATCACGTGCATCTTTCGCAAGGCCTCCTCTTCCGAGCGAGCCACAAAGTACTTGTCACTGCCAGGTCGGTTGGTGGGATAAAACCTCAGATAAGGTACGTAGAAAAGAATGCGTATGTGGGGAAACCATGGGAAACCTGCACATCAACAATGGGTAGAATTCTAATCGATTGAATTCCGAATATTCAGAAAAAAGATTAGCAGTGACCAAACTGCCAGATGAACGGAACCTTCAGCAAAATTCCTGGGATGCTGGCACAGGAATACGATGACCCCACCAAAGTTGCCTTCAATTACTCCAATTGACAGCACAGAACACACTCCGAAAATCTCCGAAAAAGATGGAACAAGCGCCTGGAAATACACCATGGCTGCTTCTCCTTCAACCAGTCTTGCCAAGTCCTGACTCATGGCCCATCGGCCTCTGTTTGCCCTCCGGTGCTACAAAACATGTCGGCCCTACTTGACGAAGCGGTCAGGCTGGATGTTGATGTCTCCCGACCTGCGGATTGAGCGGCTTGATGGATAAAAATGATACAACACAATGTATTAGCATATGACGGGTATGATATTGATTCATATTGCATACACTCAAATACTGGATTTTGTGGCATGGATTTCAAGTGCAGATCCGGCGGTCAAATGCTGATGCAACTGCATACGCGAGCTTGGGCCATGCATCTGTGGCCCCAACTGCACTGCATCCATAGCTCTTTGTGCCATCACCTGACCGTCCAGTGGAATTTTGATCATTCTGTTGAACATGTTGTATCCATTCTGCACCATGCAGGTCTTTGAAGACTCCTAAATCACTTCAAACGTCAAGTGCCTCAGTGGACACAAACCACTGGTCTGACAGCATAGGTTCAATGACCTCTCCACTCCTGCAACAAAACTCATCAAAAATCATCAAAAATCATCAAAACTAAAATCAAACATAATTATTTGTTTGGCTGAGTTATACTGAGATCCATGCCTTTGCGAGAGAGGCACACGCTGCATGTGGTCCTTGCGGTTGACATATATATATAATATAATATATAATATATTTCCGGCACATGCCGAACAGCTCGGCGTTTCCACCGGTCCTCGACTTTCAATGTCAGGCCAGCTTCCTCAAGGTCCGCCCAAAGCACTTTGCGACCTCCAACAACTCACACTTATGCCCCACACCAGGAAAAACGTCAGCGTTCCGTCGAGAAATTCCACTTGAGGTCGGAACACTTGGATCGATCAAGGCCGACGTACTGCGGTGAGCCTTCCCAGCAGATCCGTTTCTTTTCCAGCCCACTTGTGGTTCGGGCTTCTCAATCAAAGTTCAATAAAGTTCACAATGTAACATAATGCAACGATAAAAATATGCGACATGCCGACAAAACACATCGCCTAAGGCTTCCAAGCTGATCATGGACCCGTCGAGTCCAATGACCTGCATTGACATTCTGTAACCGGATTTGTCGAAAAAACAAAACAACATTTAAAAAACACTGATATCATCTGATATCACATCTGATATCACATGTCAATACATATCACACGAAATCATTGCAGGTAATCAGGTAATGGTTCATCTTTCTCGAAGTTTTTCCTCAACTCACTGTCTCTGCTTTGGAGTTGTTCAGTAATAAACATTAATAAACTATAATAAACTCAATGCATGGCTCTCTCCTGTGGCTCCCGCACCGTGTGATTTTCAAGGCCGTGTCTTTGACCAATCTCGAAGTCATTGAAATCGTGAGCTGGCGTGATTTTCAACGCCCCAGTGCCAAACCTTGGTTGCTGCACTGCAGGATGCCACGTCGCAGTATACGAAAGTCATCTCCAGAGAGTTCAAGAGCCAGACTCGCGATCAACATAGGCATCGGCAATGACCGGGATGCGTCGGCCTTGTGACATCCGGTCACATCTTGTGACTTGCCCAGGCCAAACAAGGTCCATCAAGGTCCTCACCAAGCCACATCTCCGTCGTGGAAATGGGTGCCGGACCCTGAATGGGCACCAAGACGTCCCGGCCAATGAGGTGCTTGTAGCGATCATCCTGCAATCTTCTCGCCGTTGACAGACTGTTGTGTAGATGCCTATCTTTCAATTCTCAATCCATCTCAATCCCATATTCTGTTACCATTGCTACCTAGCTATACCTAGCTGAATATGTCAGCACATACTTGCGATCGCTACTCTGCAGTCAGACTGTTTCCAGCTTTTTTTTAGTGAGTGTACAAAGAAAAACAAACGCCCCAAGTCCCCAAGTGTTGAGTGTACAAAGTCAGTGTACAAAGTCAGTGTTTCCCAGTTGAAAAAATTGAAAAAGGTGTGGTTGGGAAATGTTGGGAGCCTGGAATTTTCCACATTGTGGTGACATGATTCCCACCATTTCCATCCAGTTCCATCCACTTCCCACCTCTGGATGGACGCAAACAGCTGAATCGCCCAGGATAGTCTCAGGTCTAGTTGTGGCGACGGGGATGAATTCCTGCGACGCAGAACGCTTGGAAGTCTTGGAACCATCCTGTGAAGTGACACCATGTGACACCACGTGACACCTTGGATGGCCTTGGATGGCCTTGGGGAATGAAATTGGATGAGTATAGCCAGATATAGCGAGTATAGCTGCTGGATGCGATCAATCCAAGGATTCCAAAGTGCATTCTCCTCTGCTTCACCATCTTCACCAGCAACAACATACCTCAAAGCTTCCGTGCATCAAGAATTGTGCATCCTTTTGCGGAAGCCTGAGGGTTTTGCTTGAAGTAGTACAACTGGCCTTGGACATCGGAATATTCCACCTGACCAGGATCAACCAGGATCAACCAGGATCAACCGAGCTGACCAGGATCAACCAGGCTTGAAATTTCAGCTGACCTCCAACCGAGCCGCGGCGCCTCCAAGTCACTCACTGCAGTCTGCAGCACAGGGCTCCAGTTGACCATGCGTTGACCCCGGAAAATGGCGCCTTTCCTCATGACAAACGCTACAATCAGCTACAATCAGCTACAAGATGCTACAAGACGGGTCACAAGTGGACAGCTTGGATAGCTTGTTTCATGTTTCAAATCTTACTGCATCCATTTCCCATCATTTCCCTTTGTTAGGAACACGCCAAGTGCTTGGCCCGCAAGTCAGAACATGTCAGAACATACACTCCAGGCTTTGGGGTTCCGATATGTTCCGATACGTTCTGAGATGGGTCTACTGAGTGGTCCCGGCTCATGCAGCCGGCAAAAGGCTTCGACCACCTTGGGAAGGAAGATTTGAGCTTGAGTTGCCAACAAAACGGGAGAAAACTTACTGAGAGATTAGAACAGCAATGCATGCCTGCACTGTGCTATTTTGATGGCAGTTGAAGTTGAAACTGCAACGTACAACTTGTAGCTGCCAAGACCCCTGCTGCTGCGCTCATGTGTTCGTTCAAGGTAAATTGCCTCAGGATTCCATGCAACGAGGCTGTGGCAGAAATGGAGTGTGATCCTCAACACTGAGTGCCGAGCTCCCTCGACCAATCGGCAGAAGCACCCAAGCGTCGCATTTGATCCACCTGGAAACTGAAGTTGACTGAAGTGGACATCAGAACTTGATGAGTGCACGCAATGGCAATCGATAAAACGTGGATCATTGGATCGGATCTATGCTGTGAATCCCACGATAGCGCCACCCTTTTCATCTTTCCACTCCCACACCTGCCACCAATGACTGCAGTGACAAACAACTCGGAAAAAGGATGAAAAAGGTAAAACATGGCACATAAAGGCAAGTGTTAAGTATTGCAACAAGGATCTTCTGAGGGCAAAGCCCTTCTCAAGAATTCTTCTCTTCCAACTTCTTGACGCCTGGAGATCTAAGAGGATCTGAGACCAGAGGTGAGACATGGTGAGACCCTGGGATACGAGAACTGCAAGGAGCTCCTACATGCTCCCACTGTATCTGTTTGGAATCTCTGAGGGAAATACGAAGTGCCCTCAGCTGCAAGCTGCCGTTCCTCAGTGCTAATTGTAGAAGTTCCCAAAGGGCAAACACTTGGCTCCCATAATGAAACTGCTCAAAACGATGTGATGTAAATGGCATCAAGATGGACATAGCAAAAAAAAAATAGGAAAATGAGTCTCCAGCTACGAGCATCTGCGTCGCAATACCAGCATGATCGGTGCCTACAGCCGTAGTTGACAGAGAAACTGGGCAACTTTGGTCCTTTTCCAGTCTAAAATGTCCAAAGACACCTGGTAGCCAAAGAGTTCGGTCACCACGCATTCGATGAAATCGTGTGAGGACCTCGATTACAGGTCACCTTTTCAGTGGCAAAGAGCAATGGATAGCAATGGTATATAGTCAAATAGGTCTACCAACTTCCTCATCTCATTCCCCGTGACTTGTGTATTGAACAGCCGAGGCTAGAACATCCTCCAAGCTGACAAACATGGCATGACCTCAAAATGTCTTCAGGTTCACTTTCAAACGCATGCTGACCTGAACATATCCGCACATGAACATGAAGGCAAATCGCACACACACTTGAATTTTGGCCCCTGGCCCATGTGAAGCCTGTAAGCTTGGAAGCGCAGTGACTTCAAATCTATTCAAATCTGGTGTTGATTCCTGTCAGTTCATTGATAGCGAGCCTCCCAGTCACATTTGGCGGTGGCATAGGCATCACGTAGGACTCTCTCATATCAGACTCTGAAGGGACCTTCATTTGCACAAAATGTCCCAACACAGGTCCAAAATGCAAAGTCAACACTTCACCTACTTTGCCTATAGAGAATGATATAGAGAATGTGACTCTGCTATGACTCCCCATTTCAACACCATCTGGAACCTTCTCAGCCACTTCAGGTCGAAAAAAACCTGCATCTTCCCACCAACCTGGGCAAACCGTTTAAGGAGCCACTTCTGGCAACATTTACTTTGAACCAAATGCGTCCAAATGCAAGTTGCTGATATTTGGGGAACTTGGATACACTTCCGCGATTTTTGCAGAGATGCGTTGTCACAAACAGCTGAACCTGCAGCATCATGGGCATTGCGGCATATTGCGGCATAACACTGAAGCACACTGAAGCCGCAACGGTACAAATCTTTCTCCACTTCGGAATAGTCGTATCTACCAGGCATTGACCTCGGGATCTTTTTGACGTATCCAGCAGTCTCATCCTGGCCCTCCAACTGATGAAGCTGACAACTTGATGATCCATAATGATCCATAGATTTCCATAGTATTCAGAAGTAGAAGCCTTTGGCAGCGCCAAAGGGAAACCCCACCAACCCCCATGGTCTGGGCATGGCCTGGGCATGGCCTGGGCATGGCCTGGGCATGGCCTGGGCATCCGACCCACTCACCACTGAAGTGGGGCACTCTGAAGCCTGTCAAAAGACACCCCAAACGAGAAATGTCGACAGAGCGGAATACTCTACGTCAATTTGATCAAGCAAACAAATTGGCTCCAAATCCAAGCTGCTGCAAACATCTTAAAATATCTTAAAATGCCAGCACGCTCTGGCAGTTCCTTTGCGCAGAGCTTGTTTTTCTCACCGTGCTACAAGTAAAGCGAGGCTGCGAAAATAATGCCACGCTTGAGGCGAGATCGACCCTCGTTCAGCTTCCTCAGCTGCGCAAAATCTCAATTTCCAATGTAAGGTCACTTCATTCTGCAGTTTTCTGTGTATAAAGCCTTGAATAAGTTTGAATCTCTTGGAGATTTTGTTTACTTCTGGCTCACATCCCATTGGATCACTGTGCGAAACGCATCAAAGTGAAGCTTTTGCCCAGAATGATTGGCTACCTGGTGCATTCACACTGTTTGGATCCAAAAATCATGACTTGAAATCTCGGAAGAGTTTGCGTGGTATCTTCAGAAACCATCCAATCCGATTCGATCCCCATCCGATCCCCATCCGATTCGATTGGATCATCCAAAGATTTCCAAGTGTCGACGCCAGCTCCTCATTGCCAATGGTCTTGGCAGCGGTCGCCAGCTCCCGGATCAACTCTTCCAATCGGCGGATCACGCGGACCACGCTGCCCTCATAGAGGTTACATTGATTCCTTAGCACATCTGAGCACTTCCATATACTTCTCCAAACTATCCATACTGGGATTGTGACAATTCTGTTTGTCACATGTTTATCACTGATGAAAAATGTGAAAATGCAGTTTTGCCATGTGTTTTGCTACGTTTTACCACAATGTGTCAAGCAACAGAAATTACAGAGTTTGGTTTTGAAAAGGGACTGTGTGCCAACCAGCCATGCTTTCTACCTACTTAAATCCACCACCCCAGCGAGCACACGCAGGGAAAAGATTGCCTAGCTTAGATTCTAGATGGCAACATATGGCAACAACAAGCCATGAAGAGCCCAAGAAATCCCCAACAGCTGAAGACATTGAACCTGATTTTTCTGAATTCCAGGATCTGCATTTCAACCTGTTTGAAAAAATTGCTGAGTATTGGAACTCTGATACCTTGCACCAAGCGGAACCTTGGAATCCCGAAAGGCATTCCTGCCAAAACCGCTGATGAGCCTAATTCCACATTGCAGTCAACTCAGGCAGTGCATGAGAGCACCCTCGAACCTAGAATATATAATTATAATATCTAGACTGTGCTGGCTCAGACCCGAAGCATACCTGAACCCATCTGAACCCCAAGAACACATCATTGACCACGCTGTTGTTACAAATGTTCATGGTTTGGATATGTTTGGATGGTGTTTGA